TCTTCTCCTTCTCCTTCTTCTTTTCTACTCCCCCGCTCCCATGCTTGGCTATTGCACTATTAGAAAATAAATATCATGGTTTTTACACCTATTGTCTCTGTTATGTGTTTAAAAACTATTCAGTCAATGGGATGCTTTAGGCTGTATCTACCCTTCCCTGAGGTATTAAATGTTGCTAACTCACTAAGTGGAAAGCAGTAGGTAACATTAAAACATATGAGAATTAAACAACACAATTTGTGTCTCAAAATGTATTCCCTACTTGTAAATGTTAGCACATATTATTAGTTTACATCACCAGAAAACTAGACCAGAAAGTACAAATGGAAAAAAGTCATTGGGGGGAGGAAGCTGGGGAAAAATGTGAAAAAGTAATAACCCAAGATTCCATAGAATGGTCTTTCTATCTGTGAAGAAAACTTCATTATGAGAACAGAGTGGACTTAGAGTTTGGGGAAAAAAATCTAATTAATGAAACTTTACTTTTAGCCTAAATTTTTCTTAAGTCACTAAAGCAAAAAGAGTGAGAAAAAAATTCCTTAAATGTTCAAGTAGTTTCAACATGCTACCTACAAAGGAACAAAAATGGGGCTGAATTCAGACTTCTCTTTTCTGTGACACTATGTCCCAGAAAGCATGGAACAACCTCTACAAAGATTTGAGGGAAAAATTTTACCCTAAAAGATTTTATCCACCCAGTTCTGTACTGGAGATAAGGATGTATGAGTCAATAGCATAGAGAGAGAATTTTGCCTTAGGTGAATAAGTTCATGCAAGGAGAGACTTTAAAGTGAGAAGACTAGAGGATGTGAGAGAGATGAATAAAAAGCACCAATATCCAAAGGACAGGCATAGAGAAAGTAGTCAAAGACAATGAAAGTGGCACTGGGGAAGGGCTTAGGGCAAGGAGGTATCCCTGGTAAGAGAAGGGGATCCTTGACTCAGCTACCCAATTATCTTCCAATTCCTAGGCTCATGAATTCAATGACAAAAAATTATTTGAGATGATTCACAAACGAGACCCCTTAGGTAAGTGGCTACCAAGATTTATTAGCAAAGCAGAGTGAAACAAAGACCAAAAAAATGAGAAAGCATGACCACCTCTGACATCCAGAGGGTGGGAGCTAGGGGCTCCAAAGGAAGTCCTCTTCCCAGGAGTATTTATATTATCCTGGGAGATTCCAGTTTGAAATTTTACCTAGACACCTGGTTATCTGTCTATCTTCAATCATTTTGCTAACTTCCTGTTTTGATGTGTCATTCAAACATGGAGACAATGGAATTAGGATGCTTTTATTATTACCTAAACACAAAGACAATGGTCTAGTAGGGTGGCCTCACAATTAAAGGGTCTTGTGACATGGATGTCTGCTTTCTGTGTCAAAGAATCACCTTCTATTTTCAGATCAAATTATCCATTTTAGGAAACTGTAACTCATATAACATCTAAAAGAAAGGAAGTGTAATGGAAGAAATGCATACATGCTTAAGTGATTAATTCAACTTTTGAGGTCCTAGTGATTTCTTTTTAATTGTAGCTCCTAAATCTGGCTTATTTTCTGATTGTTTTTGATTTCTTATTTCCCTTTCACCTTGCCCCATCTCTCTTGCCTCAAGAGGAAGTGGTCACAGAGGAGGGACAAAAACTAAAAAGAGTGCTGTTGTAAGTCAAAAGAATAAGATCTTTCCACATCCAGGAATTGGAAATCAACTGGGTTGAACAGACTCAAAAAGTTCAGTAACAGAAAAGTTGAACACTGCATACTGGATTTGATGAAAAAGAGGTCACTTATCAAATTTAAATTCTAAGATGTTTGATTGTAATTTTATAAATATAATGAAGTAAAAGCATTTAACTGAGTAATAATACATTCATTTTTGGTAAATGGAATACATTTCCTTACAACATTCAAAATACATGAAATAATGCATTTCCTATCTATCTATCTATCTATCTATCCATCCATCCATTATTTGAGACAGGGTTTCATGTACCACAGGCTGGCCTTGAACTCACAATCTTCCTGCTTCAGCATCTCAAATTCTGGGACTACAGTATGCACCACCACACCCAGTTTACATATTTATTATTGCAAGTTATATCATATATACACAAAGAAGTACATAACATATATGTATAGTTTAAGAATGGTAAAAATGAAAACCTATAAGTTAGATTAAGAAATAAAACACTATAGTTATGCATAATGGTACGCACCTATAGTCCCAGCACTTGGGTGCTGAGGCATATCTATTTCAAACAAAAAATCTAGTTATAAAAAATGTTATGCTCATAGAAGCAAATTCAAGTTTCTATGTTTAAAAATGGAAATTATTTAATCCGAGCATCATACACAAATTCAATACCTTCCTTAATATCTTTTGCAGTAGCTAGCTTCCAAGATAACATCCAATGATTCTTGTCCCCTGGTATTCACATCATTCCTTCTCCCACTAAAAGGACACACCTCCATATCTCATAGGACTATTGCAGAAACAACGGTGTATGACTTCCAAGGCTACATCATAACAGATGTTGCAGCTTCTGTCTTGTTCTCCCTTCAATCACTTAATATGGAGAGGCAAGCTGTAGTGTGAGGAATGCACTCATGCACTCAATGGAGAGTTCCAGAAGCTGGGAAATCAAATCCTCCTGCCAATAGTCAGCAATGATCTCCCAGCAGTGTGAGTGTGCCGTCTTGAAGAGGCTTGTCCAAGCCCAGTCAAGCCTTCAAATGATGTAGGCCCCTCACAAGATCTTGCTTGTAACATCGTGGGAAACCTTAGGCAATAAGCACTCAGCTATGTTGCTCCTAAATTTCTGATCCGTGAGATTAAAGTGTTTATTGTTATTTCAAGCTACTAAGTTTAGAAATGATTTGTTACTTAGCAATAAATAACTAATAGCAATTATTGTTTTATTTTTCTTTTCACATCTGTACAATATAAAGAAAATATCAATTGTTTTCAGTAAAGCCTATAGAAACAACCCCCAAATCATCTTCTAAAATGGAGAGAAAGTATCTTATAAAGAAAAACAAAAACAAAAACTGGGATGCTGTGTTCAGCAGCCTCTACCCTCAGACAGCTGTCTTCATAGGTTCCTTTGTTGCTGTCTATGAGGACAAACGATGATGAACAAAAAAGGCCAGGATGGAGGTGGCACAAATTACTTGAAGGGTTTATAGGAAGTGAGTTGTCTTAAATTCACTGTATACAAAACATGAGCAGGACTGACACACTTGGAGACCCTAGGCATCAAAATGATAATAATGCCTCCCTATGGGCAAAAAAAAAGGAAACAAATAAAATTATGATATATTTAAGAAGCCCCTGACATCTCTATTTTTCCCTAATGCTTTCTTTGAAATGTCAATTATCAAATTCATCTTAAATCTCATTTTAGTGGTCCATTTTGTCCCTTTCCTCCTAATTGGTCTGCTTATTGTTTAATGTAGCAATGATAAAACACTCTTTACAGACACAAAGATTCATTTTCTAATGTGAACAGTTTTCATCACAGTAAGTCCGGTATCCCGGTTATTATGAAATCAATCATTTTACCTCCCAGCCACTGCTGTTTTCCTGAGGGGTTCTTGTTAGCCAAGCTGCCTTTGATAAGTTCTATTCTGTTAATAGTTCTTTGAAGCTTATCATAAGCATTTATTTTACATAGAAATTCTGTAGGCCCTGATAGATGACTAGACCAAGAATGGAGAGACAGAAGGGAGCTCTGTGCAGACATGCTGGCCTCATGCTAACCAAGTTTTCTATTGCCTTGGCACCCATACACCCTCACCATCCATGAATGCAAAGGGCCAAGATGTTTACCCTGATCGTGGAAAAGGACTCAGTAGGTGACAAATGCTACTTTCTGAACTCAGGCAAGGATCTTCACATTCTCGCTTTTTGAAGACAAGTTGTACATACAGGACAGAACGAGGAGGCTCTGAGCGTCCTGCATATTTACAAGGGCTTTGTTACATTTAAGAAGAACTGAATGGGGAATACCCCCATGGAAATCAAGGGACTCTGAGAGCATGGTATCTTTTTATCATATGAAACACACACCTAAAACATAGGCAATGCAAGACACTGGGAAAACTTTTTAAATAATTGATATTAAAACTTTGAAGCTGAGCCAGGTGTCAGTGGCTCTCACCTGTAATCCTCGCTACTCAGGAGGCAGAAACCAGAGGATCACAGTTCCAAGCTAGGCAGGGAAAATATTCATGAGACTCTATCTTGAAAAAAACATCACAAAAATAGGACAGGTGGAGTGGCTCAAGGTGTAGGCCCTGACTTCAAATCCCAGCACTGCAAAAAAAGAAAATTTTTGCTTTGAAACTGAGATGTCCAGTGCAATAACAATTAACATGTGCCTATTTAATTTTAAAATTAAATAAAAGTATAATTTCATCCCTTCAGTGCCACCAGCATATTTCGTGCCCCTTATAGTCCTCCTGTGGCTAGCAGACATACAGAAAAGTTTCACCATTGCAAAAAGTTCTATTGGACAGCAGCGTTCTAAAGAACTTAAGATGTCACCATGGAAAATGAATAAAAAATGCATTGGCTTTCTGTACATCTGTTTTATGACTTGGCATTGGATATAAGTTTAATAACGCATTTAGAATAGAAGTGAGAGAATCATACCATTTGCAGCGTCTAGAGACCTCTGAAGAATTTAATCTGACCTTGGCAAAAGGATCCTGAATAGCAGTTATATACTTGACCCTCCTTTTCATGCACACCACCAATAAGTCACTGCCCTCCACAGTCACCCCGAGCACCTACAATCAACCAGACAAGTGGAGAAGTTGGAGCCTCCGCTAGTATCCTAGCAACAGTGACGCCACCCCCGCCCCTTCCCGCTGTTCCCCGCCCCCCCCCGCCTACCTTATTAAGCCTGGAAGGGGCGGGCCCAGGAGCCAAGTGCCCAATAGGAGGGGAGTAGAGGAGGGAAGTCCTGGCCGCGTCCCCGTCGCTAGGGAAACCGAAGCAGCCCGAGTCCCAGCGATGCTGAGCGCGGAGGAGCGGGCCGCCTTCGCTGCGGAGAACGCGGACGAGGAACCCCGCGCAGACCCGAGACTGCGTCTCCTGGGGTCCTACGTGGCCCAGAGCCTGCGGCCGGCGGCGGGCGCCTGGGAGCGCTGCGCGGGGACAGCCGAGGCGGAGCAGCTGCTCCAGGCCTTCCTGGGCGGCGATGCTGCGGAGGAGCCGCGGCCGCTGTTGGTGGTGCGGCCTGGGCCCGGGGGCCTGGCGGTGCGACCCGGGCTGGACGCAGGACCCGAGTCCGGCCCGGCTCGCGCTAAGGGACTTTATTTCCTGCGCACCCGGGCCGAGCCTCCAGGAATCAACAGCCTCCGCGCTGCAGTGCTCTGCGGGGACCTGCCCGCGGCGCCTCTGGAGCACCTGGCCATACTGTTCTCCGAGGTGAGGGTGGGTTGCTGGCCCCGCGCGGACAGAACCTGGGGAGGGGGAGAGGGCGGAGCCGTGCGGGCGGAGGCGGGGCCAGACGGGGAGGGGCGAAGCTTCAGGGGGAGGGCGAAGGGGCGGGGTCATAGGCAAAGGGGCAAGGCCAGGGCAGAGAAACTGACCATGTGTCCAGTTCGCGAAGAAAATGGGATGGGATGGGAGCAGAGCCAAAAGCGAGTGGAAGGGCGGAGTTGGATGGAAACCAAAACCAGGACAAGACATCTGAGGCGTGGATGGCATGGCTGACCTGTTACAGGGCATTTGGGGGAAGTCTGGGTAGAGGCCAGGCCAGAGTGAGAATGGGAAGGTGCTAAGACTTGGGTCAGTCCAGGCCAAAGTCGAGAGGAGGCTACAGTCTGAATGGCGCCTAGTTCCTGATGACTTTTTAAATCAGTTTTTTAAATCCCTCCCGTACATTGGGAAGGGCTGAGGACAGGAAGTATCGAATGAGGGGCATCTTTCATGAATCTATGGGGTGAAAGGAAATAAAAGACCATAAGCAGTGTTTACTTATGCAGAATAAGAGTTTAAGGCAGGTAATTTGGTTTTGATTTTCATCTCGTTCGTTCATCATACAACTGTTTATCAAAAGTCAGCCTTGTGCACATAGAAGTTGAGCATCCTTTTGGAAATGCCCAGCAGACATCTGGAGGGGTTTAGCCTAAGCTGAGGAAGGTGGGGATGTAGATTATGGAGTGCTTTGGTGGCATCAGAGAGTGAGGCCTCTACAGTGTAGGGGATTTGAGGGATTCTTCAGGAAAGAAAGACTCTTGAGCCATTTAGACCTTCTGAAATGGGAGCAAACTTCCCTGGAGGCTGGTGCCTTTGTTCCTGCAGATTGTGACATAAGTGTGAACAGAGTACTGCTATATAGTGTTTTGTGTGGTAGGTGCTATGAGGTAGTACCAAAGAAGTAGAAGGCAGGCTCCATCCATGAAATGTTTACTTTAAAGAGCTAAAACAAACGCAATTCATCACATGTTCAAAATTTTTAAGACTACTGTGACGGGATGGGGGTAGAACTCACCTGAAAGTTGGCTCCTGGACGCTCCCTGCCCCTTAGTTGCTTTATCGTGAAGCTGTGGGAGGGGAAATTGGATAGACGAGCTTTCAGGGGATCAGAGAAGCTAAGCTTATCAGTAGGCAAGGAAGGATTTTTATATTTTAACAACCAAAATGGTCTTACTACTGTACACATCTGAACACCATCTCTGCAGAAGTACAAATTTGGGTCAAAACCCCTAATGAATGATGATAGAAAGTGTCATTGGTTTCAGAGAAGAAAAATATGCATGTGTCTGAGAAGTGCTCTTGACCTTAAGTGTTGAACTGGCTCCTGAACAAGAAATAGGTTCCGGATAAGTACAAAGCAAGGCAGCTTTCAAGATATGAGGATAGACTGAACAAAGATTCAGAGACAGACCATAATCTAGCGTATGGGGGGAGGTGGGCCCATCTCAGAGTAGTGTTATGGCTAAGGAAATGTGCTCTATCAAGCAAAAATGATTCCCAAATAATTCAAATCCTCAAATATTCAAAAATTTTCCTTGGTGTATTGAAAGAGATGGAAGACAGTATTCCTCAATCAGGGACTCAGTGAGTGAATTATAGTCCATTTACACAGTAAAATACTGTGGAGCTATTAAAAAGAATGATTGATGTGAGGAAGTCCTCATGGCAATTTTTTTATTTTGGCAAAAAAAAAAATACGTAACATAAAATTCATCCAGCAATTTCCAAGAGTACAGTACAATATTGTCAAGCACACACACTTTGTTGTACCAGAAATCCCTTATCCGGCATGACTGAAACTATGCTCACCAAACAATTTCCAGCATTGTCCTCCCCCAGTCCCTGATAAACACCATTCTACTGTCTGTCTTTATGAATTTAGCTGTTCTAGCCACCTCATGTAAGTAGAATAGTGTGTATTTGTCTCTTTCTGGCTGGCTTATTTCACTTTTCCTAATGTTCTCAGGTTCATTCCTGTTGTCACATGGTAAAATAATATTCGACTATGTGTGTGTATAATATTTAACATATATGTATATCATACCTAATATATGTTTTATATATATATATATATATATATATTATATACTATGTGTAAAGGAGAAAGGATAGAGGATGGGAAAGAGAAAGAAAAGAAGGAAAGGAGGATGGGAGAGAGAGATGGATGAAGGGAGAGAGGACTGAAAGGGAAGAATGGAGGAAGAGAGGTAGGAAGAATGGACACTCTAGCACCAATCCACAGTCTGGGGAAAATGAATGGTGAAGGTACAAAGATAGGTAGAAGGTTCATTTTTTCACTTTAAAAGCTTTTATACATTAAATATTTTGTACCATTTAAATGTATTATTTACTTACAGTTTAATAAAACAATTTAAAGATACTTCAGGTTCTTTACTTACATTTCTTAAAGCCTGGAAGAGGAATCCTCAGTTCATTCAACTCTGATATCCCACTTATTTCAGTGTCCCTGGAAAGCCTTGTTCACCTCCTATCTGCTAAGCCACCTCCTTCCCCCTTCTGGCTCTCTTGTCCAACCCCCCCACCCCCCACCTCAGTACCTATAGATGCTTAGCTTCTGACTTCCTATTCCCCTTTTCCTTCCACCTCTGTGCTCAGCACCACTAAAGCAAAGAACCCACCTAGCTCAGAGAAGTCTTCCTGTTCTGTGTGGGGGCAGGGGGAGGTGTTGACAAGGAGAGAAATCTGTAATTTCAACGTTATCTTTGTCCCATTACACTAGTACAAGGTACAAAAGAAAATACATCTAAGAAATGTTTGAAGGAAGAATTAATAGCATCTAGTAACTGTTTTTCCCATTTATTTTCTCCTTCCTCCAAACCACTTGATTCACTGCTGCCAGATTATTTTTCCTAGTATTCTGAGACTTGGCTGCTATTTTGAATTTTTATGTTTTGGAGAGTGAGTGAGGAATTTGGAACCTGACAGATGAGCATTCAAACCCTGGTTCTGTTAATTCAGCAGTATGATATAAGTGGGTTAGCCCACTCTGTTGGGTCCGGAATGTCTCACAGGTTGTTATGAAGTATAGTCTTAATATTCTGGAACACCTGGAACAGAGTGTGTGACATTGTAGACATTCCATAAAGAAGAAGAAGCATTGTCACACTACATCCACATACAATCCTTCCCACTTCTCTGACTGATCCTTGCTCTAGCCCAGACTGGCACTTCCCCAGGATTCAGCTGTATTTTTTCCACAGTCCTGTTGCCTATGAGCCTAGAGGGAGACGGGTGTCCTGCTTGCTCTTCCTTGCCACTTCTGCATTCGTGTTGCTCACCCTTTGGTTTAAATGTCTTATCATCAGACAGTCACCCACTCTCATTGTTGCATCCCATGTTGATATCATGGCCTTCATTTCTCCACAGTTTTGGCCCCTGGGCTCACTGTGACTCTTCCAACATTGCTTCTGCCTTAACACATAGACAAATAAATGGTCCCTCTAGCAATGTGGCTCTGGGCTCCCTGCACCTCTTTCCTCCAGTGAGCCTGTCCCTCTGACTTAAGCACCCCTCTGCTGGACATTCCCGGACCGTGCATTGTCAGTAACCACCACCCTCATTGATCCAGCTTCATGCACCTCCTTCTAACCATTACTGCCTTTCCAACTCCCTCTCTCTCACACAATGCAACAGTCCCTGGACTATGCTGGGGCCTCCAAGCTACTGAACCTGCTGCCTTCCCCTCTCCCATATCCACACCCTTGTCCAGCTTGAGTAACACACTCCATCATTGTCCTCATTCCATTGCACCATCTCTGATTTACTGGCTTCTACATTGTGGTGGTGCTCTCCTTTGAGAAACCCATGATCCTGGTGAAATCCTGCTTTCTACAAGCTCTATACTCACACTATGAAGCTGATTTGGCATAGGGAAGAGCCAACTGGCTCTACCTGACTTTGAACCTGTAGTAGGCCTTTTTTGTAGTAGGCCTTTTAAGTTTCCCACCAGACAATCTATATTTTTAAATATTCCAACTAGTTTCTTGTTCTTTTAAATCACTAGTTCACAACTTTCTTTTCCCTTCCTTCAAATAGCTAAAACTTTCAACATTACTTTTTTCCAAAAAAACCAAAAAACAAAGAAAATAGAAACAAAATTTCCACAAACTCTTACATCTGCCACATCTTCCAGTACCTTTTCTTCTATCCTCTGCCACCCTTCCATTGCTACAGGTGGACTATCTTGTCTGATGTCAACACTAAGACAAAAAATGCCAGCTTTCCCCTGAATCCCACCATAGCAATTTCTTCCCTCTCTCCTTCGTTCTGTTATTTCCCTTGCCACTAGATAATTCCCATAAAGCACTCCCCCATTACCTTATTTTAATGATCCACTTTAAACCAAAATTTCTGGAATGCGTGTATCTTCTTTCTGTGACACAGCCTTTTCTGTTGTCTCATACTCAATCATCAGGCTTTTACTCCTGCGCTTCCCAGAAGAGGAATGAAAGAACTTGGCAGTATTTCTAATGATCGCCACTTGACCAAGTTGAATAGCTATTAATCAGTTGTCACCCAGCTGGATCTGTGAGCAGCCCATAGCAGCTCATGACAGGCCTCTCCTCATAAACACACTTTCTTCCTTTGGTTTCCAGGACCCCAGGCTTCTGTATTATTCCAATGGCCAGAGCTATCCTTTCTCATTATCCATTGATGGTACCTGCCCTTCCCCCGACTTCTTAACACTGGAGAGCCCTTGGGTTCATTCCTCGGGCACCTTCTCTTCTCTATATGTTCTCTTTACTGTGGGCGTCCACATTTAGTTTCAAAATTTTATAAGCTATTTCTGACAGCTTCCAGATTTTTTATCTCTTTTTCTTTCCCTCTGATCCTCCACTAGCATATCCATCTGCCTACGTAGCATCTCCATCTTGAACAATGGATGCATCCAATTTTCTCATGTCCAAATGCAAGCTCCTGGTCTTCTTTTAAGTGCTTCACCCTTATTCTCCACATAAGTGTGTGGCAATTCCATTTTTTTCTGTTGTTCAAGACCCAAATCTTGAAGTCATGTTGACACTACTTTGTCTCTCACAATCCCCAAACCAATTCACTAAGTCATCATTATCTGTAACTTAAAAATTTATATATAATCAGATTTCTTCCACCTTGACCACTAACCCTGTGTCACGCCACAATGCTCTATATTATAGCAGTAACTTCCTAGCTGACCACCTTTTTTCAGTTTTGCTCCCTAGAGTTCATTCTCATCACAGCAGCTGAAGTGATCCTACTAAAAGATGTCATGCTGTGTCACTCCTTTGCTAAAAACCTTTCAATGGTATTCATTTCTCCGACAGTAGAAGTCAAAATCCTACAGACATGTATTTGACCCCCTTTCCTCAACTCTACTTTTTTTTTCTCACCCAGCTCCATATTGCTTGATTACACCAGGTGTACACCCACACCTGGGGCCTGGCTATGCCTTCTACCTGCAATATACTTCCCCTAAGGCTTTGCAAAACACTTTCCTCATCCTCTCCAATCTTTGTTCAATGTTATCATCTAAGTGGGGTATAATTAAAACTGCATTCCCTCTACCCTACAGTCTGGATCCCCCTTCCATTTTTCTTTAAAATTTTTATTCAAATAACTTACTGTTTATTGCCTGTCTCTTTGTAGGACATAAACTTTATGAGGGCAGAAACATTTGTATCCTAGACCTGGATTAGTAACTGTTTAGTAGGATTATAGGTGTGGTGGCACACACCTATAATCTCAGCACTTGGGAGGTTGAAGCAGGAAGATTGCAAGTTCAAGGCAACCCTGGCTCAGAACACCAAGAAAAGATGCACTCAGTAAATGAGTGAATGATTAGATTTTCATTTCATAGACACTTCACATTCATTATTTTTGTCACTCAAATCCCTCCAAAATGCAACCCAAACCTACCCACTACTTTTTCTTTAGATAAGATATATTTATAGATCTCTATGGGCTGCTCCCTGAATGCCAGCCCAAGGCAGGATTATAGTTATATAAGAAGCAAATGAGATAGATCCTAAGAAAATCTTCTGCCCTGGGACCAAAGAGTCTTTTCTCAGCATAAATGTGATAGTGTTTATGATCTCCCCGCACCCGACTTTTTGTGCTCTCCATTCACTTGTTATAAATTCTCAGTTCAATGAATGTACCCAGAAAGACCAAGCAAGAACTATCCTCTGGAATTTAGTATGCTGGTCATATACAGAACATAATCAACAGTATGGATCCAAATTTCCTTGGTTTTATTTTTTGGTGGCTTCCTCATCACATTACCTGGCCATCATATTACCTGTCTTTCTGTTCATTGTGTGGTTTTAAAAGGCAGAAGTCCCTAGTGTGTTGTACTGACAACTTTTTAAAGTTGTTAATGATAGAAATTCATTTTAAACTCAGAATCTTCAAGAGCAGCTTGGTTTAGGGGCTCATATGGTAAGCAGGACTTGTTCTTTCTCCCCCTGTAATTTCTCTCTTCTCTAAATTGATTTTATCGAAAGGCTCCATATGGGAGCAAGATGACAACCTAAAGCTCCAGACTAGTAGAAAAATTATCTCTTCACTGCAAAGCTGAGATAAGAGATTCTGGCCCTCATTGGGTCAGATTTGGTTCCATCAATATGGGAATGGGTCCCAAAAGAAGAGGAAATATGTTGGGTCCAAATCCATTAACATTCACCCTAAAAATGGCTTCAAGATTAACTTTGCTTCATTATTTTTAGAGTACCCCTGCGTACCATCCATAGGCAGATGGTCATTTTTACCTATGTGAATTTTTTGTTTTGTTTTTTGCTTCTGGCCTATGTGATAGTTTCAGTCAATCCTATCCAACCTGTTGTTGAGGGAGGGATTCCTGCCCTAGGGTAATGGTGACAGCTGAACACATAACACCCAACATCGAGCAGATGACATGGGCAGTGGTTTATTAGTCATATATACTCACAGCAGAGAGGAGGGCATGTACCTTGTGGGGCCACATGGGCTTGCACTTGGGAACACAGTGACCAACCAGGGGCTGTGGGAGGCACGCTCTGTCATATGAAGAAGGGATGGTGCCCTCTGGTTCCTGTGGGAGGATGTAATTGGCTTGTTTGAATAATTCCGAAGGATTTCAGGGAACTGAAGCCTGAACCTCAGGGAGAAGCAGGCAGTGTGCCTGGTTCCTCCTCCATAAGGAGAGTTATTGGCTAGAGACCATTATCTGCAGGAACAGAGCAAGAAGAACTTCTGGGTAGTTTTTGGAGACCCTAACAATTTTACCTGATGCCTATAATGTTGGATTTCAGTTTTAGGACTTACAGCAAAGTGGCCAGCAAAAGAATATATATGGCTTCATGGGCCTTTTTTTCAAAATGTCTTCTTTAAGGTCTCAAAAGTAGAATGCCCACCTTTCTTCCTGTGTACCTCTGTTACAGATTGTGATACCTGTCCTGGCCAATGAGAAAAACCACCTGGACTGGCCCCACATGGTGTGTCAGGATGTCAAGCGGCATGCCCACACCCTGCAGTGTGAGCTCCAGGTTATTCTTGAGCAGGCAAAGGGGAGAACTTTGCTGCCTCTTCCAGTAGACTCAGAAAAATTGGAGTTTGTGGATTCTGAAAGTGAGCCAGTGTAAGTACTATCAGTTTGGCCACATAGGCCTCTGAGATATGAGAGAAGTTTCTTTGAGTGACTTCTGTTACTGACTCCACATCTCCTCTATACACAAGCCCGCTGTCTGTTCTGTTGGCCGACATCCTTGAACTGCGTGTTTGTGCTGATTACGTGCCTTTTCCCCTTGTCTCTGAGAAGTCTTTGAAGGACTTCACAGCAGTGTGGCCTTCATTCAGAATCATTTCAGTGATTTTAGTGTTTTGCTTATCTGGATACAGCTCATCATTGGAGAGCACCCAGGTCCAACTGGAGGCTGAGGCTGAGCTCTCCTCCCCACATTTACTCAGTACATAATGTCACAGCACTAACTGGTGACTCTTATTACAGTTCCAGACTCTCCTCTATGAGCAGCTGCAAACCTTTTTTAGGTCATAGAGATTTTTCCCCCAAATAAGAACAAAACTGGCTTCATTGGGGAGGCCATGCCTCCTGATACTGTGTGAACATTAAAACCCTGGCCTCCTCTCCTTTTAGATGTTATGTTGGGCTCCATCACCATTCTAGCTTTGAGTTGGCCTTGTTTCTGTCTCCTAGGATGTTTTTTCCTTTTAAAGCCAGGCTATGTGTATAAAGAGTATACTTTGTTTTATTGTATCCAGAATTTCTATGTGACTGTGGCAACAGGTGATCCTCCTACATCTGCCATATTGTCAGGAGTTTCAATATTTTGCTGTCTTTGCTGTTAATTCAGGAATCAGGATATATATGAAGAATAAGTAATATATGTAACAGCAATATACTTCATAATGAGTTTTTTTTAATGGAAAAAGTAATTTGTTTCATATATAATTTGAAGTAATTTCCCAATTGGAAAACTGATTGTGGCTTAATAAAAATATCCAACTTTGAAAATAAATAAACTACCCTTTTTTGGTCCTTTTATACTTTAACTTAATAACATTCAGTGTGTGTGTATAATCCTTGCTGAGTTTGTCTCCCTTTGTTCAAATTTGATTATTTCCCAAAAGGCTGAGTCATTTTGAAGGAGGTGGATATCTTCTCCCTTTAACATGTTTCGTATTCATTTGTGCCATAGCATGTCTCAGCAAATACAAATTTAATTAAATTAAGCAGAGGTAGGTTTCTGATGCTAAAATGTGAACCATTGTCACTGTGCCCTTATAAGATTTTCTGTGAACAAGCAGCCAAAATGTATTTAGAATTTTTTTAGTATCTTCCAAACAATAAGTTTGGTTTTTTTTTGTTTTTTTTATTATTATTCATATGTGCATACAATGCTTGGGTCATTTCTCCCCCCTACAATAAGTTATTTTTTCAAAAAAGTAAAAAAAGATGTATGAGGCAGAAAGCTTGGGAAATTCTTTTTTAAATTTTTTGGAAGTACTAGAGTTTGAACTCAGGGCTTTGCATTTGAGAGGTAGGTGCTCTACTGCTTGAGCCATCAGCCCAGCAATTCCATTCTTCATTGAGAAGTAAAGACAAAGCAAAGTGATGATGGTGGTATTCAGAGAGCTATTGGTTTGCCTCATGGAGAAGGATACCATATTTCTTCTCACTGCAGAGGTTAGAACTAACAGCTTCATGAGGGAATTCTAGAGAGGTATATGTGGTTCAGTGAAGAGATTAAAGTTCCTCTCTATGAGAGGTGATCTACTTAGTAACAAGTTGCTTCATCATGTGTGAAGCTGGCCTTCACTGGAGAGATCCAAGCAAGGGTTGGGTGGTCATCTGCAGGGTATTCCTGCATTGACAAGAAGACTCAATGGCATTGATAGCTCTTAAACTAATCTTTGGAATATTGGTAAACCTCTGAGTTTGCATAAATATTGTTGAGTGTATACTCAAATACCTATGTTTTCTGAGGAGAAGATCTATATGCTTCATTGACTACTCAAGAGAGTCTATTGCCACCTGTAATCCTAGCAATAGCAAGGATGAGGTAAGAGATCAGTCTGGTCAGTCTGGCAGAATCAGTCAAGGTCAGCTTGGGCTACATAGCAAGACATTGCCTCAAACAACAATAACAAAAAACAAAACCAAGAATTCACAGGTTAAGTGGAACTACCTATCTGTTGTTATTTTCCTTTTTTTTTTGGCAGTACTGGGGTTTGAACTCAGGACTTTCTGCTTGCTAGGCAGGCACTCTAACACTTGAGCTCTGCCTCCAACCCCCCACACACTATTTTTTAAAAGATTCGGGGTTCTTTTTTGGAGGACACCCAGGGCTATAGTTTGAATATAGTTTGAGTTTATCCCCGAAGGGCTCCTGTGCTGGAAGCTTGTTTCTCAGTGTGGTACTGTTGGGAGGTGATGGAACCACTAAGGAGAAGAGCTTAGTACAAGATAATGCTTTGCCCTCAGGGAAGACTACTACAGATCTTGTGGGATCTCAGTTTAGTCTAGAGAGGTTGTTGTGGTAAAAGAGCAAGATTAGCCCCTCCCTGCCTTCTGGCTTCCTGTCTTAGAATGTTTCTTCTTGTACATACTCCTGCCATGATGCCATCTACTGTGATGCCCTCAGCAGATGTCAAACAAATGTAGATGCATGATGTTGGACATCTAGCCTCCTAAATCATGAGCTAAGTAAACCTCTTTTCTTTAAGTTTCCCAGCACTGGGATTTTGTTACAACAAAGGAAGATGGACTAATACACCCAAGCCTAAGTTATTTCCACATGTTCCAGGAGATTTCTTTTGCCTTTCACAGCTTGGATTCCATGGAGAAGTCTGTCATCTATGCCATTGAGTCTGCAGTGATCAGGTGGAGCCATCAAGTCCAGGTGGTGCTAAAGAAAGACCCTTCTCAGCCACTCTTACAAGGAGAGAATCCCACCCCCAAGGTGGAGTTGGAGTTCTGGAAGAGGAGGTAGGCGGGGAGGCACATGCCCAAATTCTGGGAAGAGGATATTTTACAGAGGGTAAAACTGGAGCTGGCCTGGGGGAGCCAACCATTAAGTCCATTCCCTCCTGCCAGATATTTTTCATCCTCCCTAGGGCAGATGGCTTGTTATCTTTGAATCAGTACAATTTTTCTGTGGAATGGGAGGTGAATTCTTTCCTCAAGGTTCAATTTTCACCCTTCTTTTCTTAGGCTACTGTCAGTTCATCTTCTGGTATTTCATCAAAGTCTCTTTAAACTAGAAGTAAAATTAATCCACTCTTTTAATCTGCTAATTTCTATTCCTTTCTCCTTGGACAGGTGAGGTTGGACACATATAACTTTTGTAAGAATCTGAAAACAGAGAAGGGTTTTTGGAAGTTGGCTGCAGAAGAGCCTCTCCTAGGTCCCAGCTCCTTAGTAGCATCTAGTCTGTCCCAGTCTCATGACCAGAAATGCCTCATTATTATTTCTGATTAGTCCTTGCTTCTACTTATCATTTTACTGGCAAATCCTTTTCTCAAAAGGAGACAGACAGATATTGGATGCAGATGTCTCTGCCCTCAGACTGAATGGAGATTGTGTCACATGATCAGGCCTGCCTATAGGGCTCCAAGCTGTCTGCACTGCCGTGCTGAGATACCCATCCTCTTGCCTGCTTTCTGACCATTTGCTGACCTATGGCGAGGTCCTTCTCCAGCAGCCTTGCTCCAACAATGCTTCTCTCCCCCTGCCCCAACCTTGTTGTAGAGCTAATGACCTCCAGCTGCCAAGCTTTTGAGCCACCAGATGGTCACAGCCATTTGGAGCTCCATTTCCTGGAGCTGCCCCTTTGAACCTGTGTTCCCAACTCAGGCTTTTGCCCTCACTGTTCTGGAACAGATGTCCCAGCTCTGTGGAGGCACCCTGAGGAAGGGCTCCCTTCTGCCTGCATGAGAGTAGGTCATCATAGTGTGGCAGCTGTTTCCTGATGCTCACCTGGATTCGCCCTTCTCTGTGGTATTGCAGGTATGAGAATCTGGAATACATTTACAATCAACTGAGAGCAATTAAGGTGAGGGGCATGGCTGGGCTCCTGGACAAACTTCAGAGCAGCTACTTCCCAGCTTTCAAAGCCATGTTAGGAAATGTTGTGGCAGGTAAGAACCAGCAAATGTTTTCACAAATACTTTTGACTTAAATTTTTCATTGAGTGACACATTTACTTCTCTTTTTCTGACTCCAGCACCCTCAAGTACTTCTAACCTTCTAATACAATACAGCATGGTGGAAAGAACACCAAGTCTAGAAGCAAGGGAACAGCCAAACAGAACTATGCTCTGCTTGCAGTTCAATGGCTTTGTGACCTTGGGCAAATTCACACAACCTCCCTGAGCTTTTGAGTGTACCATGTTTATGGTACCCATACTTCTCACCTACTTTACCTCTCTTAGCTCTTGGGAGATGAACTAGGTGGAGGAACTTTATTCTCTACAACACACCATCCACATGCATGTTGTTATCTCTCTCCTCTGGAATTCATGTTCCTGCACTCTTGGCTCCTTGAGAAAACTCTGTTCTGTGGTGAGCTCCATTCTGCATTTTCTGTTCATATGATCAGATGGAACAGCAATTTCCTGTCCCTCTGAGCACCAGACAAGATCAGCCCTTGTCAAAATTGCAAAGCCAGCAAAGCCTACGATTAGAAGGAAGTAGCTCTTTTCAAGGTTCCCTCTCCCCTTATTGTGCACTTTTTTTCTTCTTTCCTTTTTCTATCAAACCTCCTACTCACCTTTTAGTACCATAGGTCAAAATATGCTTTTAAAAGTATTTGCAATTTTATATGTTAAGCTTAATCTAAGCAGTGATTTTCAATATTTTTCCTCTCTCAAGAACTTTCTATAAATACCATCTCCCATGTAAGTCCAAAATATAAAATCCATCAAGGTCTGTTTGCTGGGGTAATGAGGATTGTGACCTGTGTCCAGAGCCCACTGGTTGATCTCTCATCCCAACTTCCAACTTCAATTTGTAAATCACCTAGACAAAGGAATAAAAATTATGGTGATGGAGCTTCTTTTTTTTCTCTTTCTTTTTCTTTTTCTTCCTCTTCTTCTCCTTCTGCTCCTCCTCCTTTTCTTTTTTGAGAACAAGACTCTCTGTATAGCCCAAGCTGTGCTCAAACTTTCTATCCTCCTGCCTCAGCCTCCCAAGTGCTGGGATTGCTGACCTATGCCTCCATGCCCAACTTTGGTTATAGTTCAGATATGAACTATATAATAGAGAAAGACTGGCGTACATAGTTAGTCTTTGAGTTCCTTCTAGGTCCTCAAATCTCACTGCAGAGACTGCTCTGCCAGCACGTGAAGCTGGCTTGAACAAGATATCTCTTGAAGTTTTCTGCCTCACTGAGAGAGGCTGTGTCATGGAGGAGCCAACTCTTGCTCCCAGTTTGCACTTTAATCCAAATAGACAAGTGTTCCCAAAGTGGTATGAGATAATTGTGGGATGTATGTGGGCAGGTATTTTGAAAAATGACTTTAAGTATGGTTCTCTTTTGGTAAAAATGGTTTTCCATTTTGGATAGTGATTTAAAGTTTTCATTTTATGTACAGTAAACTCTCCATTTCTGTGGGTTCTGCATCCATAGATTCAATCACGTATGGGTCAAAATATGTTTTTAAATTGTACATATTGAACTTGTACAGAGTTTTCCTTGTCATCATTCTCTAAACCAAGTAGTATAACAACTATTTACTTAGTATTTATATTGTGTTCAGTATTATACATAATCTAGAGATTATTTACAATATACAGAAGATGTATAGGTATATGCAAACACTATGCCTTTTATATAGTGAACTTGAGTGTCTTCAGATTATTGGCCTGAAGCCAATCACCCATGGATATTGAGGAATAGCTGTGATTTTATTTAAGGTTAAAATGGGAGCCAATTTGGAGAAAATTATTAGGGAAGCAATACTATAGGTTGTAAGCAGATATGACACTTATCATAATGGAAGTATGAAAATTCCTAAAATTTGAAGCTCTGAAATAAAACAAGATGTAGTGAAAGTATGTTATAAATGGGTTATTTAGTACTCCACATATATTTTTCACATTCATATATTAAGAAACTAATTATACACATAGATTAATAATTGTAAAGGATTTGTTTCCCTAGTCCAGGTTGAAAACATTCTTTCTAGTAGAGTATATACTGACAATGAACTTAGAAACAGCTACCATTATAATAGCACAAAATCAACACTACTATAATTGTGTAATTCAATTTCCATGATGGAAGAAAAGAAAATTTGATTAGAGGTGTTAGGTAGAGTCTTGGTCAGAAATTTTGGCAGGGTCTACTAAGAATTAAAAAGATTTTAAAGGCTATTGACTGATTTTATCATTTATAATTTAGTTTTGGAGCATCTGGCTTTCTTTATCTTAAATAGATATACTATGTGTATTATAGTCATGATCAGAGTAGTTTGTTGGCTCAATGATGGACTGAGAGAGAGAGAGAGAGAGAGAGAGAGAGAGAGAGAAAGAGAGAGAGAGAGATCTGGATTAGTGAGAACAAATTAGAAAACAGTGAGAAATAAAGAAGGAGGTTAAGGATGAAGGAAATGTGTGGGAACAAGATCATCAGAAGGGGAATTGATTGTATGATGAGCACAACAACACTCAGGAAGCAACGGTCCTCCTGAGAGCAATAAAGGCTAACTAGGGAATTCTCCTCCCTGGCTATTAGTGATACATGATTGGCATAGTACCACTCACTTACCAATTGTCTTATCTCATCTGTGCTGCCATGACAGACTACCAATGACTGTGTAATTTATAAAGAACAGGAACTTATTTTTCACTGTTTTGAAGACTGGGAACACCGAGATCAAGGAATCAGCATGTTGAGTTGTTTGGTAAGGTTGATTTATGCTTCAGTGATGGCATCTCATTGCTGCATTTTCTGGAGAGGAAGAATGCAGTGTCCCCACATGTTGGAAGGTGGACGGGCAAGCTAGCAGAGTTCTGCATGAGTCTCTTTTGTAAGAGCCTGTACCCTTTTCACAGGCTAGGAAACTTCACAGCCTGATCACTGCTTAACAGCTCCATTATTTAGTGCCATCACATTGGCTATTAAGTTTCAACACCTGAATTTTAAAGAGGACTTAATCAAACCACAGGCTCTCCATAGGTGAATGTGTGGAGGAAAAAAGTCAAAATCCAGTGCTATAATGGGGCCAACTTGGATCAGTTTACCATTGTATGTATCTCTTTTTAACTTTCTCACCCCCATCTTCCATGCAGCACATACCAAGTCAAATCAGTAACTTAAAAATCAGACACAGTGGGAATATTAGGAATATTGACATCACAGAGATTTGCAAATTTATGTCAGAGATTTACCAGCAAACCACTGGACATACTATGCAACTGGGTACTTATTTAAGTCAGTCTTCCATGGTTGAGGGTTAACTAATGGGGCATCAAAAATATCTTTAGAAAATAAAAATAATAATATAACAACATGAAACAATACAAAATTTAAAAATTTAAAATGAGGCTGGAGGTGTAGCTCAGTGGTAAAGCATTCATGCTTGGAATACATGAGGCCTTGGGTTTGATCCCTTGCATCACACCAAAAAAATAGTATGACAGCTACTTATATAAAATTTATATTATAATAGGTATTATAAATAATCTAGAGATGACTTAAAGTATATTGGAGGATGTGTGCAGATTCTATGCAAATACTGCACAGTTTTACATAAGGGACGTGAGCATCCCTGAATCTTGGGATCCAAAAGGGTCCTGAAACCAATCTCCCTCAGATATCTAGGGACAACTGTCCTTTTAAAAAATGGTGCTGGGCACTGAACCCAGATCCTTGCATTTTCAAAGCAGGTACTCTTCCACTGAGCAACATTCTTAGCTCAACAACTGTCTGTTTTGAAAAAATGTGAACCAACCTCTGCCTGTCTCTCTGTCTCATTTGCCTTGTCAGCCAAAATGATTGCTCCTTGCTTGAACTAGAGAGCTACTCATCTTTTCTCAAATATGCCCTGAAAAATCAAGGCAGTGCCTATTTGTATGATTAAGGGAGATTCTGTCTTTTAAAAGGCCTTAGAAGAGTATCAGAAAGAGAATGCTCCTCCTTCTCTAGCATGATGGGCCTAGCCTGTTGTCCCTCACAGCACAAATGAAGCCAGAGCGTGTGCTCATTAGAATGGCTGTTGGATTCTGAAATCCTCCATCTCAACCCAGCAGTTCTAATACTCTCCACCAGCTCTCTGGCCTGAGAATTGCTGCTCTAATGAATTTACCATGGCATTCGATTGCAGTTCACATACTGCTTCTCACACACCAGTGGGGACAGAAAGTGCCAAATATACACATTGGCATGGTCCTGTGTCTCAAGGCTCACAAGCATCAAGCCAGAGGTTCAGAATGATACGCGTGGGGCAATCTTCCCTTTGTATAGGCAGACAAGACAGGTTAGTTCACAGCGTAAGTCTAAGTTATTTAGGTCTTGAAGTGGGGAACTAAAGCTGTCTCATAGAGCTTTATATGACATGGTGTAAGTCCTACCATAGAGTGATTCCTGGTGTATTGGAATTGTTTTGTAAAGGGAGGATATTTTGAGTTTCCTTTATATTTGTACTAACTGTCAGCCCTCCATATGTGAGGGTTCAACAATGGGGATTGAAAGCATTAAAAAAAAAAATCAATATAACAACATAAAATAATGTAAAATTTAAAAACAATAGGGCTCGGGGTGTAGCTCATTGATAGTGCTCATTCTTAGCAGTCATGAGACCTTGGGTTTGAGCCTTTGCACATCAGAAATACTGAGTGTCATCTATATGGCAAATCTAAGATCACCTGCCTTCATGTGATACCAATTGATTGTCTGCCTGGCAAAGAACCGTTCTCAGATGCTCCCTTCCAGTCTAGTTTGCTCACAGGCTTTCACATTTCCTCTAGTTTGCTGTGCAGACTTTAGTGCCCAATACTTCTGGGTTTCCTATTTTCCCCTCTGTTACTCCAAGACATCTGGTTAAGGCTCCTCTCTTTCCTTGGCTATGTTCAAAGGATATTGTAGGAGATTTTCCTGGCTCTGAAAACCAGCAGCACCCTACCCTCACCAGCTTGTGCTAGTGCTCTGTTCCTTTGACTTCTCCTTTATAAGAGTTCAATAGGATGTTTTATTAACAAATATTCATCAGAGACACTACCATTTATCAAACGCCTGCTATGGTCCAGCACTGTGCTAGTTGTTCATGAAGATTCCATTTCTAGAAGATTCTATCTTCTGTCTTCATAAGAGCCCTTGAATTTTCCTACATATCAGCCTATGTTTGAGGCTTAGAGATGTCAAATGTGGCCAAGGTCATAAAATTGCTGAGTGTCTCGGCCAGCATTTGAAGATAGGTTTTTCTACTTCTAAAATTTGTCCCCTGTCATCTGTTTCATCTTGGAGATATCAGCAGCAAAGTGATCAGCAAATATTTCTCAAGGGATGTGTCTGATATTACAGAGCACCAGACCACAGCAAGGAGAGCCAGGGAGAAATCCACATAGAAAAATGTTGTGAAGAGAGAAGTCCTCAGAAGTCAGGGCTCTCAGAGTTCTGTTGTTTTGCATAACAGCCAGAAAGTTTTCTGGAACCAGCCTTCTCACTGCTTGCTCAGTTTAGGAAGAAATTGCAGCTAAATCTTGGCAGATCCTTCGCTTCCAAGGCCCGAGGGCTCCACCAGGTGGGCAGTGCCCCAAACAGGGATTGGTGACCATCTCCAATTCCTTCCAGCTCTGACAGAGGCTCAGGACATCCATATGCACCTGCTACCACTCCACCACCACTTGGACACCCTGGAGAACTTGGAATTTTCTGAGGTGAAGGCCCGGCTGCGGCCTCTGCTCCACGTGGTCTGTCTGATTTGGGCTACTTGCAAGTGCTACCGCTCCCCAGGGAGGCTCACAGTGCTGCTCCAGGAGATTTGCAACCTCCTCATCCAGAAGGTGGGTGGCCTCGCCATCCCAGACACTTCTCCCCAGGGATGGGTGTCATGATGATATAAGAAAAGATGATTTCCCCAGGTATGGAAATAATTCTGGTCCAAAGAGTTCTCATACTTGAATTATTGTAATTTCACAAGCCACTAATTCACAGAGGCTTTTTTGGTAATGACAGAACACCAGGAGGCCCAGTCTCCCTTTACTCTCTTACAACAGCCCTGAGGTAGGGCATAGGGCAGGGCTAGGGAATTTCAACCTCCTTCATGATCTGTGTTGAGGGATTAGAACAAAGTCCAGCAATTAAGAATGTATCCTCTGGAGTCAGGGGACCCTGTGCCAAACCCTGGCCTCACCACTTATCAGCTGTGTGTGCTGGGACAAGCCACTTACCTGTTTCCAGTCATTCTTCTCTATACAATGGCACAAAGAAGAGGACCTACCTTAATGGTATGCTAGGTGACTATGAGGTTTGAGTGCAGTAATTCACATACCCTTCGTATGGTAAGAGTTCCACACCTGTGAGCTATAAGCTGCTTGTTGGATCACACATTTCTTGTTCCTCTCTTTTTCTTTTTTGTACAGTGGATTTAGCCCAAGGCCTTGCACATGCTAGGCAAGTGCTCTGTCTCTTAAGGTACATCCCTAGCTCTTTTTAAGTTTTATTTTGAGGCAGGGTCTAACTAAGTTGCCCAGGCTGGCCTGTAACACAAGATTCTCCTGGCTCACCCTCCCAAAGGTATAATCCTGGGATTACAGATATATGCCATACTTGGTTTTGCTCCACTTTTGTAGGGATGTCTGTGGTGCTGAACAGACCATATAAATCTCAAAGAGTGTATCTGTAAATAGAATTAGCCTTAGGGAGGGTTGGGTGATCTTCCCCCTCAAATTGGTTTCTTTTGCTTCTAAAGAGCTATATCCCTGAGAACACAATGAACTAAGAGTAGCTCAGGTAACCAACATCCATGGAGCATACTGTGGCTATAAGATGCTGTTACATTTGTGATCTCAGTCAGTTATCAGATATACCGTGTGAGAGATACAGGAGGGCTCTTATTATTTATTAATACTTCATTAAAGACATGGGCTCAGTAGGGCTCTGAAGGTTAACTGCCTTCCCAAGGACATCCAGAATCCAGGTTTGACTCATAGACTAGCACTTTGCCATCACTCCATGTTGACAGCTAGGGCCTATTTGGTTGAAAAGAGACTCAAGCAAAAGCAGCATCAACAAAAAGAAAACATTGGCTCCTATACTTTGAAAGTCCAAGGTAAGGCTGGTTTCTTTCCTGACTTACAGGACATCATCAGGACCCAAACCCAGTTCTCTCTTCCACTGTCTGTGGTAGTAAAAGTGGTTGTCTGACAGCTCCAGCTTCCCAGATTTCCAGTTTCAAGTCTCTTAGACACGGAGAAATAATTATGGCCCAAAGAATTCTTGCACTCAAATTATTTCCAATCAAAAGCCAGGAGGTTACAAAAGAACACCTGGGAATGAATACCTGTCCAAGTCCCAGTTGTCCCAACAAAGTTCCACTATGCCTCCCTACCTCTGATTGGTCACTTGTCCAATCACAGTGATTGACCCAAGTCACTGTCGCTAAAGGACACAAAGACATTTTGGCTTATACCCAGGTTCTGATACACCTGTGGAACTGAAAGTGGGTGGGTTCAGATGTTTCCTATTTTGTACTTGTGAAAAATATTACATGTGCCATTGCTCAGTTCTGAGCTGGTGTTGACGAAGTTAGGGATGTCCTGCATCTGTAGCTAGGCTCACGGACAATAATCTGTATGTATTCCAGGCTTCTAATTACCTCAGCCCAGAAGACCTCCTGAGAAGTGAGGTGGAAGAAAGTCAGAGAAAACTGCAAGTGGTCTCAGATACCTTGAGCGTCTTCAAGCAGGTGTTTCAGGACAGAAGGGAGAACCTTCATACTTACTTCAAAGAGAAGGAGGAAGTCAAGGAATGGGATTTCCAGTCTTCTTTGGTCTTTGTGCGATTGGATAACTTCCTGGGCCGACTCCATGTGGTGGCGGTGAGTGTGTTCATTCACTGTAAGCCTCGGCCCCAGATGGGAGAAAGTGCAGGGACACCAAATGTAGAGTAGGAGAATAGAGCAACACAATCCAATGGCCAACCATCCACTGGTTGGAAGAGTCCATAAGAAGGGTTCAGTAAATAGTTGTTTGTATTGATTACCATGTAGTTGTTCTTCTATTAGAAGTTTAGAAATTATGCTGTGTGTATTAGTTGTAGTAGTACAGGTCTGTGGTCCCAGCTACTTGAGAGGCAGAGACAGGAGGATTGGGGTTTGAGACCATCCAGGGCAAAGTTAGTATGAGACTTTATCTGAAAAGCAAACTGAAAGCAAAAGAAAGAGAGGCATGGCTCAAGCCATGAACACTTGCCTGGCAAGCTGATGCCCCTGAGTTCAATCCACATTACCACACAAAAAGAAGGAAGGAAGGAGAAAACATGGCTTTTGCTCACAGTTGTATCTCTTGATTATTTAAAAATTAATGTGAATTTTAGCTTAAGTGCTAATGACATTAGAAGACATGAAGTTTTGAGGCTTACTCTTTTTTTTTCTTTTTTGGTGGTACTGGGGTTTGAACTAAGAGCCTCCAGCTTTCTATGTAAGCACTCTATCACTTGAGCCACACCTGTAGTTTGAGACTTATTCTTTTGATTGTTTCACTCTTCAGAATTTAGTATGGTTAATACCTTACAGGCAGGGATTCACTGATTGAACTTTGCAGGGAAGATAATGTAAATATGAATACATACTTAAATCTGATTTGAGAAATTCAGGGTTCAAGATGAACCAAGGGAACTGAGAAGGAATTAGAATCATGTTCCCAATAAGTAGAGATGTGGAGGGAAGAAAGATGCATTGAAAAGAGGCTCTGATGAACCCAGCAAACCATGGGATGACAAGGATAAGAGAATATGAGACTGAGTCTGCTCAGGTTAGCTCAGAAAGTACAGGCCCAGCATAACCATATACCGGATACTGAGCTAGGTACCAGGATACAAAGATAACTGAATTATTGTTTTGCCTATGAGAACTTTGTGGATCTGCAGCCATCACATAGGATAAGGGAGACTGGCTGATGGAGGAAATCCAGAGGTAGGAAGGCCCCAAATCAGTAAGCTTTAGTGAGGTGTATTGCATGGCAAAATGAAAGTGAAATTGGTGGGGTTTGGGAGCTAGTGAGAGGGTGCTCTAACTCAGCAGGGCTGTGAAAAAATAAAAAAAGCAAGTAGCACAAAAGGAAATGGATTTTGAAACTGGATAAGAATTCTCCAGGTAAAGAAGATGGGGGAAAGCATAAAGACAGAGAGTGTGTGAGAAAGCCAGGGCTGGATCTTATGAAAGGCATACCTTAAATCCTTCATCAGGATTGTGGAGAGTGTAAATAATTGATACCTAGTTTCATTCTAAATGCCTCTTCTCCCAGCCATTTCCAGCACAGCTTTTGATGAGCAACCCCTTCTGCCCTCCCCCTTCTCTGTTTCTTCCTCTCATCTCCCACATCAACCCCTTTGCTGTTTAACCAGAGTGATGGACAATTGTGCTCCACCCTGCCCCTGACCTAGGCTGACCACAAGAGGGATAATCGCCTTTGTCACTCTGTCATGTTTGCAAGCTCTTCAGCCTTGAGAAGGAATGGCCCTGGGGGTGGTGACAGAACATAGCTCAGAATGAGTTTTCTGGGCATGCTCCTCAGGCCCTGTGCACACATGCTAATGATGTGATTTTTGCATACAGACAGCTATTCTAACATTAGGGCACCTAATCTGCTGGGTATATCAGTAAATATAAGCGGAGCTGGCCACCGGCCTCCTGGGAGTCATTGCCCTCACAATAATCCCCTCTCAGGCTGCCTTTTCTCCTGAATCAAGGGCACAGATGCATAAAAAGCAGTTGCCCTGGTTTAATTAGAGAAGGAATTGAATGCTCCCATGCTCTTCTTTCTGCTTCTGCGTCTCTGGAGTTTCCTGTTGATGCTCTGGTTTACTTCTTTGCTCCTGGGCACAACTCACTACTTCTTCTCTCTCATTTTTCATCTTCCAAGCATTGGCTCAGACTCATTCCCCTTGCCTTTGCTGTCTTCCTCTCCTCCATCTCTTCCCTTCTTAGCTCAGTGCAGCAGGACAGGGGACTATTGATTGTCTTCTGGCATATTTCATGTAGCCCTTTAGTTAACATTCTGTGTATCACTGTGATCGATGCCTGTTTGAAATGGGATTAATTTGCTTCTCTCCAGCAAGAATTAGCATGAATTTAGCCTTCATCTTCTGTTCTAATACAATATATGATCACTAAGATGATGATACCTGCAATTAATAAAAGCATGAAGCCAAATGAATAAAATGACATCAATGCCTTTAGTCCTCCACTTGCTCACACCAAGGGGTTATATTGCAAAGAGCTGGTTTTTAATCTCCACAATTCTCCCTGACTTTTCCGCTCTGATTTGTGATGCACAAATGATGCCTATTTTGCACAAGAGAATTTTGTTGTGCAGGTCCATGCTTCCCTTCTGGGCGCTTGGGAAATGAAGGTGGAGGGGGTAGGAGGGTACTGCTTCAAAGGTGAGTGTGTATTACTGAATAGTTTTCAGCAGGTCTGCAGAATGTAGACTAATTGCATCCTCAGAATACCACCACTTTCATCCTCATCATCGCAACTGTGGTACAGCTAATCTTTTAGACATCTAACCCTTGTGGAGGAAAAGGAAGAAGAATAGAAAAATAAGGAAGTAATGTAGGTCAAGAACCTATATCATGCCAGAGCCTGTATCTGTCTGGACACCATGCAATAATCACAAGGACTAGGTCTCAATATCCTTACTTTAACAAATGAGCACAATTCAGTCTGATACATAAATTAACTTGTCCATAGTCACACAGCTCAGAGAGTTTAGCCAGGATTTGTACCCAAGCGCATGTGATCTTTTCACCAAACTTTGGTATCTTTCAGGGAGTTTTAAAGGTCTATTTCCTTTCCTCTTTCCATCCATCCCTTTGTCCCTTCTTTACCGTTATGAGGGTCTGTAGCTGGATTTGTGGTTTTATTCTGCCCTTTTACTTTCTGTTCTGTCTTTGTACACCCTGTTTTGCAGGTCTATTTACTTAAATAGGACACTCAGGTAAAATTACAATTCTTATTCCCTGAAAGGGCTTTTTTTGACTTACAACTTTATAAGGGAATCCCAGAAGTATATAAAATCTTTGCAATTTGAATGAACAAAGAATGGAAGTAAAGGAGTCTTTCAGTTGCCTCTGAATTCCTTCCATCATCCTGCCTTCCTGTGTGATGCTCCAGCACACACACACACACACACACAAATTCACTTCTGTGCCATAATATTGTAGATTCTGCAAATCCCGTTTATGTTTCTGCCTGCAGCCTCTTCCCTGCAAACAATGCAGGGAGCAGCTTGGAGCGAACCCTCATTTCTTTCATTATAAAATTGCTGTAAAGCTGTGATTCACTTGGAGACAAAATGATTTCCTGCTGAGGCTTTATGCAAAGTGATTAGCAGGGAGATAGGTAATAAGCTGACCTAATACACGGCATTCCTGTCTGTTCTTTCTGTCATCTCCAGCCACTCTGCCTGTCCTCTTTTTATTCTCAGCCTAATTGGGACAGCTTCCGTTTCAGCCTGGCCGGCACATGCAGTCACATATGAGACCATTAGCTGCATAAGGTGGGTTGCAGTCTAAAGGTAAAGAAAACAGTCTTTTTCCAAATGACCTTTTGAGATTTTCATCTCTGAATGTCTGCTTTGTGCTCTCCCTTAATGAATTCTGAAGACATTTCTTTTAAGACGGGTAGCATGACCTCTCCTTCAAAATAGGATTGCTGTTGGTGGAGCCTGCCATTATATCTGATTTTGATGCTTCACCTCATGGGCCAGGGCACAAATTGAACCCTTCCCCCCAGACCACTACCTGCAACCACCATTAAAAGTAGAACCGTTTTTCATAAGAATAGGCCCCAATCAGTCTAGTAAGCTGCCTAGGACCTTGGAGTTCTTTGTGATACCTGTGTGGAAAGGAGCACCAAAATGTCCCCTGTATAAGCCATCATACATCTGGTAAAACCAGAGTTGTGTGACTCTGGTGTTTTGGGCCCTAGATCTTAGATCCTAAGCTCTTTTTCAAAATGCTGTATGTCCTAGCTCCATACTTCATATTTTCATTCTGTAAATAGCATAACAAATTTCATGTGCTTATTACTGTGATAAATAGAAAATAGATTTTTTTTATGTGCTGGGGGTTGAACCTAGAGCCTCCCACTTCTGGGTAAAGATTGTATCACTTGAGTCATCACCCCTTCCCCACAACCTTTTTGGTTTTATTTTTGTTTCTAAAATAGAACCTCAATAATTTTGCCCAGGCTTTCCTCAAAATTACAATCCTCCTGCCTCCACATCCCTAGTAGCTGGGATTACCAACATGCACCATCACACCTGGTTTCAAAAATAAATATTTAAAAAATATTATTTAAATCTCTTATTGGCTTAAATTTCCCTTTATCTGTTATATGAATATTTTAAAATAAGCAATGTAAAAAGCTTAAGTCTAAATAATTAAGAATCAAAGCTGAAGTCGTGGTCAATATGATAAATTTGTCTTTTCTACAATACCATCCACATTACAATGTATAGAACCTACTCCTTCTTTGAGCAGCCCATTCTATGGTTGAACTTATCTAGGCATTGGTTGGTTCTGTTTTATTCTATGGAATCACATAGGACATGGTCATTTTTTATAGATGAACATTATCACATATTAGCAATTTCATAATTCCAACCTGTATGATGAGACCCAATTTGTAACTTTGTCTCATTCACTCATTGGCATTCCTTCTAACTTAAAGTAGGGTCATGGAAGATTCCACCTTGCTCTTGTCAAAGGCCTTCTCAACATTGACATACCTTGCTTTGTAATTCTCCTCTCCTACCTAATTCCCTTGTTTTCACCAACTGCTCTTCAGACGTCATGGTTCCTGAGTCCTCTGTCACTTTGTTATCTTCTGGACTTGGTTTAGCTCTGTCAGAGCATAAGAAGTATGCCCACATTCAACAAATGTTTGTTCAGCATCAAGATCTCTCCAGGCAGTGAAGATACTGGGCCACCTTTGGGACATTTACCAACTACTGGGGAAGATGGGCAGAAAATGAACAAATAATATAACATAAAGTTAAGTAATATATTCTAATGCAGGAGTGTGATAAGATCCCTGAAGAAAGCTAAAGAAAAGAAAAAGGATAGAAAGTGCCAGGCAAAGGTGAGGAGGCAGAGCCCTTTTGATAGAGGTAGAAGGAAAGCTCTAAGACTAGGAATTGAGCCCCAAATAAATGTGTCATCCACCATGTTTGTTGTGTTCATTGTTTGCAGTCACTAGACCTTCTCCAAAAATAGAATAATTAAATATTTCTCTAATACCTGTGATTTACCTGTAGATTAGATGAAATACCTCCAAGTGACCATCCTTCAAGTGTTCTTAAGAAATGAAATAGCATAACAAAATTATCATGTTGTTTTCTGATATAACCAAGCATATGAAGATACCTCTGTCTTTTAAAATGGTTATTGAGTATTTCCCAAAAGTTGAAGGTGACATCAACACAATTGTGACGAATGAGTACCAAGGTTATATTCCCGTGCATATTTTTTTCCTATAAAACCAGTGACAATTTACCACCTCATGAGAGATTTGAATTACTGTTGAAATCAATTTCATTAAAAAAAATTAATTTGTTTTCTTCTCTGTATGTAAAGTTGAATAACTTTTTGTTGTTGTATTGAAATAGGGTATCCTTATGTGGCCCAGGTTGACTTTGGACTCAGAATACCCCCAACCTTCTGAATGCTGGGGTTACAGGTTTTGTGCCTCATGCCTAGCAAAGTTTTGCAAGTGTTTTTATTATTATTAATTTAAATATACAAATTTGTGAGAAGCGATATAATAACTTGATACATGTATACAGTATATAATGATCAAATCAAAGTAGTTAACATTTCCATCTCCTTAAACAATTAAACAATTTTTATTAACAATTAATTATACATATTTATGGGCAAGGTGTGATATTTTAATACATTATGCAATATGTACTGATCAAATCAGGATAATTAATGTTTCCATCTCCTTATCATTACTTTGTATTTGGAGACTTCCAGCACTGTCTTCTAGTTACTTATTCATAAAATATGTAATAGCTTATTGTGAACTATAGTTACTTCATTGTGCCATAAAATACTAGAATTTATTACTTCTATCTAACTGTGTTTAGGCTCACATTATGTAACTCCCACTATCTCCCCTTCCCCAACCTTCCTGGCCCCTTAATAATCATTATTACATATTCCAATCAACTTGTTAAAAAGATTCATATATGAGAGAAATCCTCCCATATTTGTCTTTCTGCATTTGACATAATGTCCTCCAGCTCCACTGATTTTGCTACAAATGGTAGGATGTCATCATTTATAACAAACTTTGTTTATTGTCAACTGATGGACATGAAGAGTGGTTCTATATCTTTTTACATAATTTTTTATTATTAGGATATATTATTTCATTCATTCATTGTGAAAATTTTGAGTAGGCTTACATTGTACATTGGCTAGATCACCTCACCATCTCTTCCCCTCATCCTTCTACCCCACTTAAAGCAATTGCAAGAGGTTTCAGTGTTCTATTTCATGTAAGTATATGAAGTCCATCAACCATATCCCCTCACATTACTCTCCTTCCTTCACCCTTCCCCTCCTACCAGTAACCCCTGCCCTGACCCACCCTACCCCTGTACCTATTTTACAGTCCTCTCCATCTTATTAATTTCTAAATCAATGTTCCAAGGGGTTTCTCTGTGTCTGGGCTGTGAGTGTACTTAACTTTGGTCAGTTCAACTCCTTCTGTTCCTCTCCCATATTCCTTCCATCCCACCCCCATTTTTCAACAGATTTCAATGTGTATCTTTATATCTTCAACCTTTACAGATGCTATGTTTTACAATATTGTTGACATTCTATCATTCCATTTCCTTTCTCTCTTTCCCTGTGTTCCATAGAGTAGTTCCACTGGTACAAACTTGTTCTACATATGAGTTTGAATATGATCATGTTTCTTTTTGTGTATATTTATCTTTTGGATCTATCTTCCACATGTGAGGGAAAACATTCTGCCTTTATTTTTCTGTTTCCGTATCTTAGCTATCTTGAATAGTGCAGCCACACACGTGAGAGTTCAGGTGTCTCTAACATACTGAAGATTCTTAGTTGATATAATACAATTTGTTTATTTTTTCTTCTGTTTCCTGTGTTTTAGGGATCTTATCCAAAATATCATTGTTCATACCAATGTGTTGAAAGGTTTTCTTCTAGTATTTATTTATTAGTTATTTAGTACTAGGGTTTGAACTTAGGTCCTTCCACTGTCTAGGCAAGTGCTCTACCATGTGAGCTATGCCCTCAGCTCTTTTTCATTAGTTATTTTTCAGAAAGGTCCCACACTTTTTGCCCAGGGCTGGTCTCTGACCAGATCCTGCTACCTCTGCCTCCTGTGTAGCTAGGATTACAGTTGTGTGCTACTGTAGGGGTAAGTTCAACCTGTCCTGTTGGACATACTCAGGAGGTGAAGCAGTTTCCATGGGCTCAGGAGGGACTCCTCCACAGGCTTCTGGGCTGTTTCTTTCACCTACCATTTAATTCTGAGCACAGCTGGAACACTGCCATATCAGGAACAGTGACAGTAATGCTTACCATGTCCCCAGATGCATGTAAATCTTAGGCCTGCATTAACTTAGTTAGTTAATCTCACTATCATACTAGGAAGTATTATTGTTACCCTGTAACAGATGGAGAAACCCAGCATAGAGATGCTAGGGAACTGCCCTGTCACCCAGCTGGCAACATGGTATGAGACGCTTCTTACATTGGGCAAGAACATTGCAGGAGACTTTTTTCCTTGTCAGGAGTTACTCAGAAGGCTGGTGTTACCCTCTGGATTTGTTTTTGGACTATTTGGAAGATCTGTTTTCTTGTTCCTATCCTCTAAAACAACTGTCTTTTTAAATAGCCATTTGAAATTGACTTTTTAAACAAAAATCAGTGGTAAAGCCACCAATCATGTGAGCAATTTTCTTCTTATTATCATATTTTATAATTTATTCTAAAATACAAGGACAGAGAGGCTGAAGCATATGTTTCATTTACTTATTTATTTCAGTTTCTGTGAGTCTCTCTTTGCTTTGTTATCAAATTTAACCGAGAGTTATTTTTACCAATCCAATCTAATAATAAGTTTACAAAACTAATCAGGCGCACATTTTCCTAAGCAACCACCACCCCCATGTGATTTCTAGCTGTTCCCATCCACAGTTGGTATGATGATGATGACTATTTTAACTCTTTTGTGAATTGTCTCTATAGGATCTTCTGAAGACAACCTTGGATTTCCACAAACTGGAAAAGCTTGAGTTTAGTGGTATCAGAGGGAATGTCCTGAGTAAGCAGGTCCAGCACATGTATGAGGAATTTCAAGAGATATACAAGGTCTTCTTGGAGTGCTCTTATGACTGCTTGGACACAAAAACATGGTAGGGAATAGAAGAGCTGAGTTGCAAGCTTCTTCCCTTTCTCAGTTACCTGTACCCTTGAGGGCCTAAGTTTCACTTTCATTTTTCTTGGGCATTTCTTTTGGCTCTGTATCCCAGTGGTTTTAGTAATTATTTACATTAGGAGAAATTATTATTATTATTTCTCTGTCATTAGAAAGATCCTAATTATTCTTTGTGTTAGAAGAAAAGTCAAAAAGGACCTCTTTTAACCATTAACCACTCCAAATTAATGATACTCAGAGTTGCAGAGATGTGATGGGCACAGGATGACAGTGGAAGCTGTAGTCACCATGTGGCTTCAAATGTTTAAGATAAGTGAAATAGACACAGAAAGACAAGTACTGCATGACCTCACTTGTATCTACAATCTAAAATATTCAAACTCATAGAAGCAGAAGGGAATGGAAATTACCATGGCTGGAGGGAGAGAGAAACAGGGAGGTGCTGGTCAAAGGGTACAGAGTTTAGGTATGCAAGATGAATAATTTCTGGAGATCTAATGTACACCGTGGTGATGACACTACACAACACTGTGTTGTGTACTTGACATTTGCTTTGAGGTACTCACTACACACACACACACACACACACACACACACACACATACACATACACACACATACATACGCACACACATACACATATACACACACACATACACACACATACACACATACATACATATACATATATACTCATACACACACGTACACACACAGATACACACATACATATACACACACACACATGGAGAGAGAGAGGAAGAGGAAGAGGAGGAGAAGGAAGAGGAAGAAGAGAAAATGGTAACTATGTCATTTGATGGATATGTTCATTATTTTGATTACTTTATGGTTGTGATCATTTCACAGCATATGCATATGTCAAAACATCATTCTATAGCTTAAACATATACAATTTTTTATTTTCCAATTTTACCTCACTAAGGCTGGAAAAAATGTTTAAAGTTTCATGCAGACTGATAAGTGAAGGCCAGGTACATTAGGACAGAAATTTGTTAGTGGCTCAGGAAGGGGCAGGTGAAGTTTTAACACACTCGATATAAGAAAAAGCATCTTACAGGGTCAGGACAAAGAGCCTACATCTCACCTGTAGCCTCTCAAAGCCAAGATCTATGAGTTCAAGAGCACAGGGGAAGAATAAAGAAAGGACTAATATAGAAAGAGGGGATAGGATTCCCTAAAAATAAAGGCAGAATTACTGGAGAGGAAATGTTAATGCAGGAAGGAAAAGGAGAAAGAAACTAGAGCAGGAATCTGTTCTTACCACCTTTGGATTTGCAGGGGATCTTACTTGGCCAAAGCCCAGAAGACACCATTTTCTAAAAATTCTACTAGTTGAAAGTAGAAAAGATGGGTTATAAAACAAGATACAGAACATATATTTGTAGTCCCATATTAACAAAACCCTATACACTGGTAAAATTCTGTAAGGAAATACATCATAATGCTGGTATAGCTGGGTTAGGAAATAGATCTATACTATGTTTTCCTACTTTCTTTTTTTATATAAGAACACATATTACTATTGTAAAACAATAAAAATAAAATTGCATGAATTAGATATAAGTTAACAAACTTTCCCTGAAAATTGCTGCATTCTAAGAAAAGGAACACACTTAGGGTTGTCAGATAAAATGCAATAATTAGGACATACTTATGTATTAAAAAATCATTATTTATCTGATATTCAAAATTAACTGGGTGTTCTTTGTTTTTATCTGCTAAATTTAGTTATCAACCTTAGGAATGATGGCTAGTAGCTGTCTTAAACCAATTAAGGTACATTTAGAAGAAACTGTGTATTCATTTAATTAGCTTATTTCCTCCTAATGACTAGATTAATTGGGTTACATTGAAAAAGATGGGATTTTGATTTGGGGAAGAAAGGAGAGTAAGTGATAATCTGAGAATAGCCCATTTTCTGGGGTTGTTTCTGCTGAGGTGGTTTTGGGGAAATGGAAGACAGGGGTACAGAAAGGGAGGTAAAAGACACCAAACTCATATTTTATTTACTTTGCCATTTTGCCCTGAATGTCTAAGTAAAAATGCTGCAATGATAGGGTACCTCTTTACATGGAAATAAATGAAGTGATACTATGGCAAATTTTAGAAAATAAAAATAAATCTTCAGTGTGACTGATTCAAGTACAAAGGATAATGAAGACCATAGTGGGACTTGGCTTTCAGAAAGTCATGTTTTATTACTTCTTTGTGATGTCTTCTCAGGAATTTGAAAATGATCTTTCTGAATTTAACCAGAGAGTAGAAGATCTTGACCAGAGATTGGGGACTATCTTTCTTCAAGCTTTTGATGATACACCTGATGTGGAGCATGCATTTAAGGTTTGTACAAGAGAGACAGGAGCCATCCCTATGCTAGATGCTTCCCTGGCCTTGACCAGAGGATGTTAAGGATACTCTTCCACTACTTTGTCTAGTAGAAAAGAAAGTAAATGTCGTAGGGCTGAGGAATGTACAGAATTGGGCTTCTTGGGCTGATCATTCATGGTTTTTTGAAAACATGATAATGTAAAAAATACTTTTAAAAGCAATGTCTTCTGCAATGCTTTATTTAGCTGTCATAGTTTTATCAGTAGGGTAGCCATTAAAAGTGAGAAAGAAAGTCTGCTGTTGTCTCTGTTCTGAAACTATGACTCTGCAGAACATTGGCTATATAACCACCATGGCAAGGTTGACTTGGGCTGGAGCAAACCACCTTCCAGGAAAAGGACTGAGGATTCAGTCATCAGTAAGTGGAATAAGACTTGTGCTACTTTGCTCTTGCCCTATCTCATCCAGATTAGGTGGCACAAACAGTATGGGGTAGAAGGTTTAGGACAATGCAGACATAGATACTTGCACCCCTACCAATTCTGAATAGTGAATAGAAGACTTGGAGGAGTATGATAGGTTTCCTGCAAACTATGAAAAGGCTTACCCTATAAAGCCTTAAGTATTCGAGTCATGAAGAAGTTACATGGAGGCAGATTTGGGTTCAGTAGAGAAAAGAGATTTCTGTCAAAGCTGTTCAAGATGGAATAGACTTCCTTGACAAGCAGTAAAGTTTCCAGTCACTGAAAATGTCCAAACAGAGACTGAATGACTGATGGACAACCATAAAAGAGGTCTCATCTCTGGATGGGCGAATTTATGCTATCCTAGAATATTAAGTTACTCAAGTGTGCTAGGCTTCATTAGCTAGTGTGTGTGTGTGTGTGTGTGTGTGTGTGTGTGTGTAAAACCCTTAATAAACATCTGCTTTTCCCAAACCCAGTAAAACTTCTAGGATTCCCTCTTCAAGTATTCAAACTAATTCCAAGAAAGGGGCTTTTGGGTGTCTACTAAGTGATCCTATGTAAAGACTGAAGGCATGGCTCAAGTGGTAGAGTGCTTTGCTTAGCAAGTGCTAAGTCCCTGAGTTCAAACCCTACTACTGATTACTGATATATAAATCAGTAATCAACTAAAACAACCCCCCTAAATGATCCTATGTACCATTAACTGTCATGGTTAATTGGGACCTGACCACTCAGATAATTTGTGAAGCTGTAACTCCTCTGTTCATGCGTGAGAATGCTCAGACCTCCACCTCCATCCTATGAATCTCTCTGCACCTGGAGTTTCAAGGAGTGTTAGAGGATGCTGCATGTGTATCTTCAAATTGTTCTACCTGTGAAATCTCTGTGTCTCTGCTCTGAGTTGACAGTCTTGGAAATTTCATCTGTCCAGGAAAGTGTTTGAAGGAGTCTTACTCTTGCTCTTTAGATAGTTCCCATCATGAAAATGCCTATGTGTTTCCCAAGAGTGTATCTATAGGCTTGAAAAAATCTAATCCTTGAGATTTTTATGGAGGTATAGGGTTCTGATCAGAGAAAAGGGTGTCATTTCAACTTTGTACCTGGTCACTGAACATCACTGTTTGTCACTAGAGACTTGAGGGCTTTCATAAAAGCAGGATCTTTACTGTCTGGCCCTGACTCCACTTCTCAACAGCCCATGGAACTGGTAATAAAAATCATAGTTATTTAGTCCCTTCTGCCTGTTTTGTTTCTGGTTTTGGTCATCTCAACAAGAAACCAAGACCTTTCCATCCTCCTTTGACCAAGACAAAAGCCCCAATATATGTAAGTTCTTGCAAATAAGGACTTTTTCCAGGGTTTGAGGAGTAGGAGCTGGCTAGAGAAATCACCTGATACCCTGATCAAGGCATCCAAATACCTCTGTTATTTCTATAAGAGCATCTCAATAAGAGGTTTGAACCACAGAGCACAGTGGGTACCTATTCTGTATGTCTCCATTCAAAAGGAGCTGCTATTCTGTTAGGCATTTGGGTGATTTTACTGGAGGAAACACCAGGCCTAGAGCCTTTTAGAAAGCTTTTAGCACCTTTATCAAGTCTCAGAGGGCAATGGAATCATCAAGGAAACACTTCAATCTCTCTGACCTGAGAAATACCTGACCTAGGATTTCTCTCTCCTCCCATATGGGTTCTTCTTTGTGCTTTGCCACTCCCCATGACAATGCTTAGAGGTCCAGGACTTCTGAGAGCTATCTCAGATACTGAGTTCATACCAACCAGCATTTGGAGCTTTCCCTCTCTCCCCCCACTCCAGACTTCGAAAGGCAGTGAAGAAAGAGGTGATGAGAATGGCCCAAGTTTAAAAGAGATAATATGAGCATGAAGTCTTAGACAAATGGAGGTCTATTCAGTTTCCAGCTTTAAGATATGTGAAGGTAACCTTGAGATTATGTCTCTTACTCATTGACTTCAAGCAAAGGCCGGCAAACTTTTCTCTGCAAAGAACCAGAGAATAAATATTTTAAACCTGAACACATATGTTCTCTGCAACATCTTCTTTATTTTTTTTAAAGCTCTTTATTTAAAATGTGCCATACACTAAGGTCATGGGCCAGGTTTGGCCACCCATTGGATGTTCTTTATCAACCCCTTACTTGAAGCATGAAGTAGAGTTGGGAGGTTATAGTGTAATTCAAGTTTAGAAGCAGTATATTACTACACCCTAAAATTAACTGAAATTCTGTAGGGCCTAGTCTTGGCTGCATCACAATTAAAGAAGCATAATCCAGAAATGAAGAAATAACTAAAAACATTCCATATCTTGTTTCTGCTGCTTTAGGAAACTTTGAAGGGCTAGAGTAATTTTAATGCACAGGAAACATCTTCAAATCATCCTCTTCATCACCACCATTCTCAGGGCAACTGCTCCCTGAAACTTTTTCTTACTCCTACTCTCAAATTTCAGCCCTCCAAATTCTTCCAATGCCCGTGCCACTTAGCTTCTTTCATTTCTTTTCCATCACCACCTCCTTCTGTTTTAGATCTTTATTGTGTTGCTCAATTTAAGCTTGCTGTCATCTTCAGTTTTCCTTTTATTCAGACTCTTCTGTCAGAAGAGCACCTGGTGATAGCCCAGCAGACAAGACTCCTCCTTTAGAAGTTAAGGAGGATAACCATATACTGACATAATTATTGCTACAGTTCTACAGTAACAGTTGTGTACCCTCTTTCTTTGGTAGGCAGATGAAGGGAAAACTAGAAAATGAGATTTATGTAAGTTTGGAAAGGTTTAATGTGGGTCTTTTTTCTCTTTCCTCTCTATAGCTGCTAGACATTGCAGGAAACCTCCTTGAAAGACCCCTGGTAGCACGGGATGTATCAGGTAAATACCTGGTCCTCATCCAGATGTTCAACAGAGACCTGGATGCTGCAGGATCATCTACAGTCAGCACATCAAGGAGGAGGCAGAACTTGGTAGGCTTTGTAGCCAGGGGATTTTGATGGAGAAGTTCTGTTATGGGGAAGAGTATAATGTACTCATCTTGGGTTTGTGAAATGTCCACATATGGATCTATGGCAGTCTCTAAGAACATCAAGCATAATCCTCTTGATTGAAAAACCAGACCACCTTGGGTGATTGTAGACGTCATTGAACTATGGATTTCCCGGTATCTGGGGCTGAGATTGCCAGGGTGACCCAGACCAGCAAGGTCTTCACCACCACTGGTTGATTGTGACCTTGGCATATTGGATTTGTTGGCCCCGATCTGTGTTGCCACACTGATTAATCTTCAACATACTCAATTCACAATAGATTTTTACTTGCCTGAAAAAACTTTCTATCCTTCCTCTGCCATAGCAACTGTGCTTCTAGTGGGAGGAATTGGCATAAGATCTGACAAAGGGCAGTCACCTTGTGGAGGTCTGATATTTTCATATTTATTACAGTTAGATGTCCTATCTTATTTATTTGAAAGTCCAACACAAGTTCATTTCAGTTTTAAGAGTATTTCTTGAGTGCTTGCTATGTGCGAGGCCTGTTTGTGGGCACCGTATGTAATGGCAGGTGTAGGAAAGGGGCAAAATAAATAACACTGAAAGGTGTTTGTTACAGAATATGAACAGTGATCCATTCAATTTGTAAGGAATGGTAGCCAAAGAAGATCAATCATGGCTGAGAGATTTAAAGCACATTTATAGAGAAGCTGGTATTGAGTAGAGCCCTGAAAGACAGGAGGTCGACAGTAAGGGAGAAGAGACCAAAGTTTCTGAAGCAAAGATATGAGAAAATGTGGAAGATGGCCAGCCAAAACTGCCTATAACCAAACAAAATATGTTTGGGGTCAGATTGTGAAGTGATCTGAATACCATGTTAATTGGGAAATCATCATTCAGATAATTTATTGAAGGTTTTTAAGTAGCTGAGTAACAGGACTACTATGTTTATGAAAAAGTTTCATAATGAGGTCATTAACAAATTGCCTCTATTGAGGAAGTCATTCTCAGCAACTCTTCTGGTCCAAGCTTTATGTGGGACCATCGTAACTTCTTACAGTCAAATGCAGACTATGAAACTTCAAAACTCTTGAGGGCCATGCTGGTTTTCTATTGCTGCATAATAAACATTTGCAATCGCAGTAGCTTGAATCACTTCCCATCTTTCAGCTCGCAATTCTGAGGGTGGAAGTCTAGCATGGGTGTCTTGGGATCTCAACTCAGTGTCATTAGACTGAAACTGAGGTGTTGGCCTGGCTAAGTTCACTTCTGAAGGTTCTCAGGGGAGCTCACCTCCAAGCTTATTGTTGGTAGAATCCAGTTACTTAGGATCACAGGACTGCATCTCCATTTTCCTGCTAGCTATTAGCCAGGAATCTCTCCTGGCAACTCAAAGCTATCCACATTCCTTGCCATGTGGCTACCTCTAATTTCAGGCCTGCAGTGGCTCATTGAATCCTCTCATGCTTCAATCTCTGGCTTCTTCTGCCACCAGCCACAGCCCTGCTTTTACAGGTCTCATCTGGTAAGGTCAGGCCTACCCAGGATCCTCTCCTGTTTGCTATATAATGTCACATGATCACGGGAGTAAAACACCTTCATAGTCACACAGTTTCCACTTCTAGTCACAGTTATGCAAGGCTGAGGGTCATCTGGGCCATTTTAGAGTTTTTCTGATCATGGAGGACAAACAGGAAATGACTGAGTGTGAGCCATTGGAGAGGAGTGGAGACCGTGCAGAAGTAAAGGAGGCACCACTCTTTAACTACATTGCTAGTTAGAAATGGCAGTAGACTGTTGCCAATCTTTAAATTTTGCTGAAGAAGTTGAAAACTGAGGTGTGTTTTTTAAGCTTTAATCTCACATTTGCTAAATATTGACAACTAATAAAAGTAAACACACTGACTGTATGGATTAAAGTAAGAAAGTCCAGGCTACAGTAACTTCACTGAAGTGCTTCAGAGCCCACATGGTGTGTCTTATTCATAACCACAGAATTCTCACAGAAACCTTCAAAGTTCATTAAACAGGGAAGATATTATTCCCATCTTATAAGTGAGAAAACTGAGACCCTGGGAAATTACCTTGTTGGTTCAAGGCAGTGTCTCTCAACCTGACTGTACAAGTGGAATCACCTAGAGAACCTCTAAAACTACCTATGACCTGATGCCCACACCAACTAAATCAGAATGGCTGGGCAGGAAATCCATGTTCTCCGATGCTGTTCCTTGCAAGGTAGCCCTTCCTTTTTAGCAAAACACCCAGCCTCACAGGAACTCTGCATTGTGGGCTCTTCAGTCTGGAGGTAGATGCCACAATACGGGAGTAAGAAGGAGGTGCTTATTGATCGGAGGGAGCTGGGGGCTGTGTCCTTGCTTCAGTCTGGCTGTCTGTGTCCCCAGGGTTCTCCACAGTGCACAAAAACATGCCTGCTGTGGCAGGGGGCCTCCGGTGGGCACAGGAGCTGAAGCAGCGCATCCAGGGTCCCTTCAGTAATTTCAGACGCATCACACATCCGTGAGTATCTGATTCCTGGAAGGCAGGTTTTTGTTTTTGTTTTTTTCCCTGCTCAATATGTTGAGTACAGAAATGTAGCTCATTTACCCATAGCATGAAAACCATCTTCATGTCTGCATTTCCAGCAATAGACTAAATAACTGTTGGCCAAAACAATAAAGATATTGGTACCTTTTGAGTGAGGTGTAGGTCTTTCTGTGTTAAGTGTGGCTTAATGGACCATAGGCTTCCTTTTGCTTGGTTAGGATTCATTTCTGGAGAAAAATGAGTCTGGGACTTCATGCTCTGTGGAGGTCTCTTGCATTTCTCCTTCAGACAAAATGTTTCTTTGCTACTGAGGCTGCTGAAAAATAATGAGTGTTTCCTTATGTGCAGTGTGAGGATCCTGCACATTAGAACACCACAGGGCACTTGTTAAAGATGCAGCTTCCAGGGCCTCACCTGTCACCAACTAACTCTGAATCTGGCCCGGGGGGTGAACCTGTCTTTGTCCAGCTCCCTTTGTGAATGACTGACAAGAATGGGAGTCACATACCTGTTTCAGGGCTGTGTTTAGAAACTGGGTACTTAGAGACCTCTAGCTGCTAGGAGTGCATGAGAGGAACAATTTAGGATGTTATGTTTAGGATATGCCTGGGGACAAGCAGTCTTTCCCTGATCCTTCTTTCTAAAAGACTCAATCCTGTTGAAAGCACTTCGCTTTGGCAAAGTCACCAGAAGCAAAGGAATTGGAAGCTGGTTATTGGCATCATAGGCTTTTTGGAGTTAGAAAGGACTGAAAAGACCCTCTGACCCAGGGAGCAAGATTAAATGCCTTTAAGACCAGGAAAGCACAAGGCATATCAAGGGGGATGATGTAAGACAGCTGGGATGGGGTCTAGAAGGGGCTGCCACCACTCCACTCAAGGGTCGCCAACCAGAAAAGCAACCCCTGTGTGAGCAATCTCCTAACTGTTGGAAAGAAGCTGGGAATCTGGATTCCAAAGTTGGATATTCCACTTTAAAATGACTGAGGATCCCATTTTTCCCCCAATTCTGCACAGGTCTACCAAAGCTTGCCTGTGAGTGAGGTCTGCTCAGTGTGCGACCACCATTTGTAGCATCTGCTCTGCTCTGGGCAAACTCTTCATTCTGCAGATAAAGAAACAAAGCAAACAGAAGTCAGGTGACTCACCTAAGGTCCTAGAGACAGCAGAGGAAAGAACTGGAAGAAGCATGTGGGTCTCAAGGTTCCCAGACCAGAGCTTTTCCCAGGGGGCCCCAGCCTTGGAAAAGTTTGGCCTTGGGTAGAGCAGGACCCTCAGACTTCTCAGACATGCCCCCTTGGGGAAGAGTGGAGAAGACACGTGGGTAGGGGGTGAGGGTGGTAGGAGCTGCTTCCAGATGTGAGGACTGCAAAGCCATCACAGGGCTGGTTCCCAGGAAGCAGACTCTGAGGCACATGTGCAGAAATTGATAAAGATGCTTTCAGGAATGGCACCCATGAGGGACGGAGGGGAAAGAGATTGGTGAAAGGAGAAGCTAAGCTGAGCTGCTGGAATAACTGTATCTGACGCTTCCATAGAGCCTTCAGGGCTGGCTGACCTTCATACCTTCCAGAGGAGCTAGTCCTTGGGGGTGGGCTTCCCCTACATGAGCATGACCTTGGGCAAGGTGGCTCTCATTGACTGAGGCTTGTTCCCAGAGGGGCCAGCAGCTGTTCTTCATCTGCAGCCAACACACCTGGCCAGAAAGAAGGGTTGGGGTTTGTTGGGGTGGGGGAGGGAGAGCTTAGGGGGTGGCCAGAGTGTCTGGTCCCAGGAGGGAATCTGGATGTCATACCTAAATGACTGCTACAAATCTCACAAAAATTCCCAACTGTTTTCGAAATGAACTCAGATGTGTATTGTACTCTCTAATATACATTTATGTATTATTAAGGATGTCATAGGTTTCTCACCATGAAGTGAAATGAATGGTATGGGGAGTCTCATTGTACTGATTCTTGTGACTTCTCAAACCCACTAGGCAACAGCCTCATACCCTGCATTACTCCACTCTGTCTCATTCTCTTCTGGGGAATTGAGATCTGAGTGTGTGAGGCTTGGGGAAATCCCACAGCTTCTGAGGGGAGCACGAGGTGTGAGTCTGTCCACCTGGTGTGGAGCATTTTCCACTTCTTGCTTCCTCGTGGACACATCTGCTCATTCACTACAAAAGGGAATGAAGTGACTTGGAGCCCATTGCTTTCTCAGCAGGCGTGAGGGCTTATGTGGAAGTCTCAAGGGATCACATGAAGAAAAAGAAACCTGTGTTGGCTCGAAGAGCAAATGGATCTAAAGGCTCTTTGTGATAAGCTGCTGCGTTTTGCTAGCAGGACAAAAGCAGACTCCACACAGCTAGAGTGAAAGTTTCTGAAAATTAAAGATACTTCACCAATTTTCCCAGGAGTTGGACTTCCTCTTAGCGTTGTAGCAAGTGTCAAAAGCAGGGGAAACTGTTTTGGGTAGCAGTGCCTCAGGCCAGACTGTGCTGTCCTCTGATCTTCAGCATTCCTGTGGAAGCCTCTCTGTGAGAACATATATATGTATGCGTGTGCATGTATGTGCATTGTGTGGGTATATTTCAGGGGTGAGAGGTGGGTGGGACACTCATGTAAACTTGAACTGGCATTGTTTTTGGTCCCTTGTCCTAGAAGGATTTCAGAGATAGGGAGATGTCTATCTACATAAGGCCATACACAAATTTAAACTCAAATTAGCATTGTTTATACATACATGTTTTATGCAAATGTAAACATTACTTATACATAGATGTTTTATGACTATATAAACACTGCTATATACAAATGCATATGTAATGTTAGGTGGATTATTGATAGTTTTTTCTTAAATATGGAAGACTATAGCATCTAGAATCTTTCTTTAGCATCTCAATTTCCCTTTTATTCTGGTTCTTTTTTTTTTGGAGCACTGGGGCTTGAACTCAGGGCCTTCACCTTGAGTCAATCCACTAGCCCTATTTTTGTGAAGGTTTTTCAAGATAGGGTCTCGCTAACTATTTGGGCTGGCTTCAAACAGTGATCCTCCTGATCTCTGCCTCCTGAGTAGCTAGGACTATAGGTATGAGCCACCAGCGCCCAGTTTATTCTTATTTTTGAAGGACCTCATTTACCTTGTGTGTGGTCAGGGAAACCAGATGAAGGATTGGTGGAGCCTGAGGCAGGAAAATTTAGGGTGCCCTTGTCACCTGTGGGGCTGTCTGGGTTTTAGCAGTGCAGATGCCCTCTAGTGGCTCTATGAGGAAGTCCAGGAAGAAGAATGCAAGCTCATTTAGGGCCATTTGGGAACCAGCCCAAGAAGATGCCATTCAGCGTCTCTCTCTCTCTCTCTCTCTCTCTCTCTCGTTCTCTCTCTCTCTCTTTCTCTCTCTCTCTCTCTCTCTCTCTCTCTCTCTCTCTCTTCTCTCTCCTTTCTATTCCTTTCTTTCAATCTCTTTATTTCTATCTCCCTCCCTCTCTCCATCTCCCTCCCTCCTTTCTTTTGAGACAGGGTCTTTCTATGTAGCCCATGCTAGCCTCGAACCCAGAATCCTCCTGCCTTGGCCTCCCTAGTGTCAATATCTTTTTTATGTTCCTCAAATCATTATTTTGACTTCTAATTCTATGTCATTTTTTTCTCTTGTGCATGGATAGTTGCATGGAAACTGCTGAAGGAAAGCGAATGATACAAAAATATGAAGATATGCTATCATTGCTGGAAAAGTAAGCAGCTTCTGGATTACATCATTTTGAAAACTGCAACCCCCCCCCCGACCATGTCCATAGTTTGTGTAGATTCCTTAGTAGCTCTGAAATGTCACCGTGTTTTATGTTATAGCCATGATATTTGTGAGGACAGTATTTCTGGGTTGCACACAGAGGATCTCTGCAAAGTGCAGCTCTATTCTAGACACAAATACATTCCCAATGTAGCATTCCCAGTGTAGCTAACCTTGCAGAACTAGGAGTGGGGGCCTGGTGTGGCACTCCAAGATGAGAATCCTGGAAAATCACAGCTGCTGCTCACTGAGCAGAAACCGATAGTATGTGCTGCACAGGGAGGAAACAAGTCTCAGGAATACTTCCTGAGTCATTTTATGGAGAAAGTCTAAGAATGAACATTTCATATGGCTTCATAGTTGCTTCTGCTTTAAAGACAAGTGAGTCTTTTGGGAATGCAGCCTATGATCTCACTTTCCCCTCTGTCATTTGCTCGCTCTCTCTCTCTCCTGGTTCAGGAGAGTAGGATGGTATACCTGATAATTCGGATGCTGCTTAGTATTATGTTGACAAATCAATTGGTGGCAACTCCACCTGCCAGATAGCACCTGCTGTATCCCTTCTACCTCTCAAATGGCTTCAAGTGTTCACTCCTCCTTGTCCCTACCATCAGCATCTTCACAAGAGCCTGGAATTGCTCTGGCCTGAGCTGCTGCAGAGCTTCCTGACAGTCCTCCCTCCTCCACATTTGTGTCTCTTAGGGCCCACTGTAGCCAAATCCAATAATGTCACTACTTCACCACCAGTTGGAACACTTTCAGAGGTTCTCATCTTGATGTGACTTGGATATGGCCTTTGCCTCCCTCTCTCCACCTCCAGACCCACACATGCTGTCTGCTACTTGTTCCTAGCACACAGCTATGTATTTCTCACCTCCATCCTCAGCCATGCATTGCCTCTGTCTGGAATACTTGTTCCCCCTTCAGCATTCCACTTCTGCTCAACTTCTGAGACTCAGTCAAGCATGACTTCATAATCACTTCCATGAAACTTCTCTGATGTTCTCATTGCTGTCTAGTGCTTCCACTCTGCCATTAGATGTCTGGCACTCTGTATAATTCTCTAGCAGGGTCCTGGCTTTGTTTTATTATAGTGATCTGTTTATCTGAGGTCTCCACCACCAGCTACATCTGCCATGAGGTATTGACTCATCATTTTATTCCTCAAGACCAGCACATGGTAGGTGTTAAGCCTGTGTATGAAGATTGAATGACAAATATCCATAAGCAATGTGGAGAGTGAGAGCAAATGTTACCCAGTGACTTACTTCCAATGTTTACTGAGACTAATCACAGCTTCCTTTATCCCTCAAAAAGATCCCATGGAATCTTTCTACACTCCTTTGATGGAAGCTGTGCCATCTTTAGAAATAAGTGGTCACCTGCAGGAGCTGATCCAGCCTGTCTAGACTAATGACTATTAGTTTCTTCAGTTCATGTTATGGAGTATGGCTGGGAGCTAGGGAGGTAGGAGCACGTTTATGAAGTGGCTATTTTCTCTGATCTTTGTAGGTATGAGACAAGACTTTATGATGGCTGGTGTCAGACAGTGTCAGAGAAGTCACAGTACAATCTCTCCCAACCACTTCTGCAACGCGACTCCGAGACCAAGCAGATCACTGTCAACTTCAACCCACAGGTCAGTTCCTGAAGCATTTCCCTCACCTGCCGATCTCAAGGGCAGAAGGCTCATTATAAAATATGCAAATCGTATTCAAAAAAATTTGCACCTTGGACTTCTTTTGGGGATAAATGCTAGGGTTTAACATCTTCTTAATTTATTCATGCTCATGTTTTTCTCTAGGGTTGATCAATATATTTTCTCTGACAAAAGTACAACAGGAAATCTAGACATGTATCACTTAGTGGCGTGAAAATGCTTTTGAAGAGTATGTTACTGTGTGATTCTGTGATTGTGCAAACACCACATGTTTACACAGTCTAAAACAGCAATGATGTCACTAGATAACATAACCTTATGGAGCTATGGTTGTCTATGTGGTCCATTCATGACCAAGATGTTATTGTGTGGCATATGACTATATTACAAAACATCACTGACCATCACTAAACATCCAGGGCCTGCCTTGAGTATTTAGAACAGGTGAAGCCTGCTAACAGGATGCTGGGGATATCACTGAGTGTGCACAAGACTTGATTCCTGTCTTCAAGGAACTCATAGTCTGGTTGGGATACACATGCAAGCATCAATCTTTATGAGAGAGCATATGATGAATCCCCAAGGACTGGCTTTGGACCTAACATTAGACTGGTCATCCTGAACTGGGAGTAATTTTGTCCCCCTGGAAACATTTTGGTTTGTTGCACTTACAGGGAGTGTCAGTGGTGTCTAGTGAGTGAACAGCAGATACTACTAAACTTCCTACCAAAAGGGCATTCACATTTTACGACTTTTCATGTATATTATCTTCTTGTTATTCAGAAAGATAGCTCTCATTCTCTTGCCCACAATATATAGTCCATTTTTTTTTTTGGCAACACTGGGGTTTGAACTCAAGACCTTACACTTCCTAGACAGACACTCTTACCACTTGAGCCACTCAGTCAGCCCCTTTTCTTGTGATGAGATTTTTGAGATAGGGTCTCTTGAACTATTTGCCCAGGCTGGCTTTGAACTGTGATCCTCCTGATCTCTGCCTCCTGAGTAGCTAGCACCTGGAAAGATATAGTCCATTTCTTTAAAAAAAAGTTACCAAACTGTTGAACTAAATACAAGAATCTCCCTTCATTTGCGTTTCTTCAATTACTAGTAAAGTGAGCTTCCAACATGTGCTCACTGGCCGCTTATGCTTATGGATTTCTGGTCTTCCTGTTTGCTTGTTTCTGTGGCCCACGGTATAGTTGAAGTGCCTTCCTTTCCTGTGAATTTGTTAGAACATTTGGGAAATATTTGTTAGATATTAAGAAATAAAACAAATCGATATGTTTCATATGTTATCTCCAGTTTGTTTGTTATTTTATTAGGTGTCTGGTATTTCATGCACATAAATTTTTATGTTTTGCTTTGTGGTTTTATGTTTGGAATGGCCTTCTGTACCTCAATAGCATAAAAATAGCCACACATATTTTGTTTAAATTTTTTGTTTTCACTTTTTATAAGCTTCTAATATCTATCTTGAGTTTATTTCAGACTAAACTAGGAGACTTTCATTCCCTATCTGAATGGTTAGCATTTGTCTTTACTCTAAGTAGGGCTGGCTGGTCAGCCATGGAAAACTCGCCCAGAGGAAGGGTATGGAGCAGCCTAGATGTCTTTATATGAGGTGGAGGAAGGGACAACCGTGGCTTTGTACTTATTGTGTCATCTATGCCTATATCCATCTGTCCTCATAGGTTCCAAAAAAATATATTGATAAGAAAGCAAGCAAAGGTTGAGGAGAGAGTGCCCAGCAGCCTGTTTTTGCCTTGGACCATGTATGCTTGGCTTTTCATTTCTTCACTTGCCAATAACTTGGGGGCCTCACAGAAGTTCAGCGAGGCCTGGCTGACTTCCGTTGTTTGACCTCCTACTATATTAAAACATGAATTGCCAGCTTGGGGTTACAGAGATCGTGAGGTATTCCAAATGAGTCTATGTAATAATTAAAGTCTTGTTATGGGCTTCTCAACCTGTCCAACATCTCTCTGTGACTGTGTGTGCAATCTCATTTGGAGAGAACACTGAAGTCTATATTTGAGGCTCCCTATGCATGAGGGTGGCATAGGCCAGGTGACCCCCTCTTTCTGACAAGCCCTCCTCCATGGAACTGGCAGGAGAGCATGAAGGAATCTCTCAGTAGCCACATGCCCCAAAGCACAGGAGGCAGCACCCTCTCCTGCTTCTACTGCTGGCTCCTTCTTCAGGACCCCATTTTCTTACTCTTGTGAATGGTGATCCACACATTCAGTAAACTTGTGGCTTTCTGAGTCATTTACTTTCTGCCTAATACTTGATTTTGCTTCTCTGAGACTAGATTTAAGGCACTGATAAGAACAAAGGTTAAGAAGAGGCCTGGAAGGTCTTTGGGTCCCTGGACCTTCAGTCCTTGATGGATATGGCAGCTTTTCTATTCTCCCTGGATTATTGTCACTTGTGTCCATTCCTTCCTCCAGCTGCTTTCAGTGCTGAAAGAAATGAGCTATCTTGAGCCTGGAGAGATGAAACACATCCCTGAGACAGCAGCAACCATGTTCTCCTCCAGGGAGTTCTATCGGCAGCTTGTGGCTAACTTGGAGTTGATGGCAACTTGGTATAACAAGGTTATGAAAACTCTGCTTGAGGTGGAATTTCCATTAGTGGAAGAAGAACTGCGAAATATTGATGTCCGCCTGAGAGCTGCAGAGGAGACCCTGAACTGGAGAACAGAAGGTAACAGGGCACCACCTGCAGTCTGAAAGACACATGGGGACTCTAGGGCCAAATAAAATTAATGGAGCCCCAAATTATGCACTAGTATCTGACTGGGCTTGGAAACACAAATCTGGTGTGACGGGATACGGCCTCACACTTTGTTAGGCAAGCGCTCTACCTCTGAGCCACACCCCAGTACTTTTTGGTTCGGTTATTTTATTTTGGCTTTACTAGGGTTTGAACTCAGGGCCTTATGCCTGCTAGACAGGTACTTTACCATGTAAGGAACATGGTCAGACCAGCTTCGTTTATTTTTGAGATGGGGTCTCACTTTCTGCCTGGACTGGCTTAGACCATGATCCTCCTATCCCAAACAGTGGCCCACTGTACATTTCTGCCCGGGCTGGCCTTGAATATCCATCCTTCCGATCTCAGCCTCCTGAGTGGCTGTCTTTTTCCTCTGATGCATTTCCCAGTAGAAGAGCAAGGACAGTTGTTTTTCCTCCTCTCCCTCCACTTAGGATGTAACTGGCAGAAAAGTTTTAGAAAGCTTTGCTGCCTGTACTTAGAAAGGGTTGGAAGGTGCTCAGGATGCCCCCTCTGTCTCCAGTCCATACTGGGCATGCCATGAACTAGAGCTCTTATTATGTTATCATTGCTCAATTTCCTCATCTAGATTGTAAGCATCTTAAGGGATGTATTTGCTTCTCTGATGTCGCCCAGTTCAATTCAGTAAACTTTTTTTTTTTTGGTGGTCCTGGGGTTTTGGACTCAGAGCCTCATGCTTGCTAGGCAAATGTTCTACCACTTGAGCCGCATCCTAGCCCTCATTTCAGTAAACTTTTATTGACTGGTTAATACGTGCAGGGTATTACATGAGGGATTGTAGGGAGAATGTGGAACATGAGGCCATGAGACACAGTCTCTACCCTCCATGGGCTCATTTAGTGAGCATATGAACATTCCAAACCACATGAGAGTGACCATAATTTTTTTAATCCATCATAGAGTTAAAAATGAAGTGTGAAGAGTCATAGGAGAGGGAGATTAAGTCAAATTATGGTCTTCAGAAAAGTTAAATTTTCAAAAGAAGTTCAGAGTCACCTCATGAAAGTTCTGCAATGTCATATTAAACAAGTTAACCAGGTACTCGGGAGGTGAAGATTTGGAGGATGAAGGTTTTAGACTAATCTGGGCAGAAAGTTAGTGAGACTGCAGCACAATAAACAAGCCAGATGTGGAGACATATTCTTATAATCCCAGCTACTTGGGAGGCATAGATAGGAGGATCACAGTCCAAAGGAGTAGAGGTGTGGCTCAAGTGATAGAACACTTGCTTAGCAAACACAAGTGTCTGTGAGTTCAAACCCCAGTACACCCTCCCCCCAAAAAAGTTAGACTTTATTCCATATATAAGATGGAAGACATTTTCAACATTTAACACATTAAAAGTGCTAAGGGAACTACATGTAGAAACAGATGGATCAGATGTTTGGAAAGGTCCCTCTCCCAGGAGATAGGCTGTGGGAAGACAGAGTGACAAAAACTTCCAAACCTTGAGATTCCCCCTTCAGGAAACCAGAAAAGTGAACTCAAAAACAGAAAGATTCTGCTACTTAGGTTATTTTTCCAAAAGTGGGACAGGTCCTCTGAAGACACTTGTCCTAAGAACCCAGATGAAGATAAACAGGTGCAGGTGGACAGGAGGAAGGCATCTGAGACCTGATAAAAGCCATAGTGACTTTAGCAGGACCATTGGTCCTGATTGTGCAGTTCCTAAGGTTTTGAAAACTCCAGTCAAAATCCAGACTAGAATCCTTGGGTTCAACTAAGGAGCACACAAGGCTGAATGATGACACAGCTTCCTTCTGCCTCCCACCCAACCCTGGGGTTCTATGTGGGGAAGCAGCCCCTTCCACCTAAGGTTATCTCTACCAGGGTCCCTGGTCAGCCATGGGGATATAGGCATCTCATTTTAGGGAACTTATTCAGGTTCCTTGGGGCCATCACCCCAAAATTAAGCCCTCAGCTATCAGGGTCAGGAGGTCCTGGGATACATCCCTGAGGGGTGGAGCAAAGAGGACTGACTTCCTCCCTCAGCTTTCTCCTAGCCACACAGAAAGGACATTCTAAACTGACTTCTGAAATAAGAAGACAATGGCTGCTCTTTGTTATGTTTGAAAAAAAATGGAAAAAGAAAACTCTATAGAAACATTGATTAATCCAAATAAAGCCATCAAATTGCTCTTGTATCTGGATGTAAAATTATATCCCTAGCAACTGTGCCAACTCTTGTGTGCTTAGTAGGTATGCATGATCTCTGTTTCTCTTCCTCCATTATCAGGGTTGTGGGTAGGGGTGGCTTTTTGACACAACTAGGAAGGAAAATGTTCTAATGGTAATGAAGAAACCTGTGCAGAAAACTCTCATAAAACCTGCAGACATCGAATCCCTGTCTTTCATAGCAAGTAGCCCATTAACTTTGCCACTGTACAGAATTTCCTTTAATTATATTTCTTTTGGCAAACAGGCATCTGGGATTATGTCACTCAAGTCACCAACAGTATTCATGACCTTGAACAAAGAATTCAGAAAACTAAAGACAATGTGGAAGAGATTCAAAACATCATGAAGACATGGGTGACTCCAATATTTAAGAGAAAAGATGGAAAAAAGGAGTGCCTTCTTTCTCTGGAGGATCAGCATGATCAGATGGAAAAGTATTACAGTCTCATCAAAAAATCTGGCCTTAAGATTCATGCCCTGGTTCAGGTAAAAATGACCTGCCTCTTAGACACACCGTGAGTGCAGAGAAGTATGCTTGATGGCAAAAAGGAATTTGGAAATTAGAATAGTCGGTATGTGCTGGGTCTTCGGCAGTCTAGAGTACAAGTTTATGCTGATAGCACAAGAACTACAGTGAGTAGATTAAGGGAGTGAAAAGTCACATTCCGATAGCACTGTACCATTGTCTTAATTGTGACATCACTTAGTTGTCACATGACGAATCTCACACCTAACCCCAAGGGTATAGAATGAGATTATGCACTGTGCTATTGACTCCCATCCCCAACTCGCCCATAGTGTGGTCCTCCAGAACCATCCTTATGCCCTGGCTCTGGAGAGATAAAAGAGTGCATGGAGTCCCTGACTGCACTTGATGGAGGAGAGAATGTGGAGTGTTACACGTAACACAGCAACACTCTGCCCTGTGCTATGGTCAGGGCAACTTCATGCTATGTCATCAAAGACTGGCTTTTTCCTGTGAACATTGGAAAGGGATATAAATGGCCACCAGCTCAAATCCTGTAGAAGTAGCCACAGGGCAGTGTCTGACAGGCTGATTTATGCTAGAAGACTAGAATGAATCATAGTCATTATAAATGAATTATCTGGGGTTTGAAGCAAAATGAAAATGTCCAGTCGTAAATACAAATGATGACCAGTTAAGAAGATAACTGCCTGAATTTTGCCTTTGAGAGATAAAGAGTGCTTCAAATTGATTTTTTTTTTAACTCCTTATGGTCCATATTCAGTAATCCAGTAGCAAGTATTGAGTCCAGACATCTACTTTTCATCCATCTTTCTTTCTTCAATCTACTCACCTGTCTGTCCATCCATCCGTCCATCCATCCACTAAACCATCCAACTTCTATGTTTCCAAAAATGTTACATTCTGCCTGGCCAATTATATGTATTCCTTTATGAATTATCTATTTATGTCTTTTTCTTACTGTAAATTGGGTTGTTTGCTAGTTCTAGAAGTCCTTTATGGCTTCTGCATACACATTTTTCACCAGATATGTGGATTGTGACTATCTTCTCCAACTCTGTGTCTTGTCTATTTTTAATTGTGTATTTTTGTGAGAAATAGTTTTAAGTTTTAATGTAGTCTAATTTACCTTTTTTTCCTCCTACGGTTAGTGATTTAGAGTCCTATATAAGGAAACTGCCTCTCTCAAATTTTCCAGCAAACAACATGATTTTGGTCCTGTTATAGTTGAATAATACTCCACGGTGTATATATACCACATTTCTTTATCCCTTTATCCATTGATAGGTATCAAGGCTGATTCCATAACTTGGCTATTGTGAATAGTGCCACAATAAACATGGATTTTCCTATGGTGTACTGACTTAGATTTCTTTGAGTATATACCCAGGAGTGGTATAGCTAGATAATATGGTGGTGCTATTTTTAGCTTTTTGGGAATCTCTATACTGATTTTCAGAGAGGCTAAACTAGTTTCATTGTATTAGGGTTCTTTCTTCTCAGATACTTGTCAGCATTTTTTTTTTTTTTTTGCTTTCTTAATGATAGCCATTCTGACTAGGGTAAGATGAAATCTCAAAGTCACTTTGATTTGCAGTTTCCTGATGGCTAAAGATGAACATATTTTTCATGTCCATTGGCCACTTGAACTTCTTTTGAGAAATTTATTGGCAAATCAATAAATTTGCCAATTTATTGATTGAATTATTTGGGGGGTTTGGTGTACAATTATTTTAGTTCTTTATATATTCTGTGTATTAATCTCCTGTCAGATGAATACCTGCAAAGATTTTCTCCCCTTCTGTAGATTGTCTCTTAATTCTGCTAATTGCTCCCTTTGCTGTGCAGAAGCTTTTTAATTTAATGTAGTCCCATTTGCTAATTCTTGCCATTATTTCCTGAGCTATTAGAGAACTATTCAGAAAGTAATTTTCTATACCTATATCTTTAAGAATTTCCCCATTATCAAAATTTCAGGTGCTACATTAAGGTGTTTGATCTGTCTTATATTGATTTTTGTGCAGGGTGAGAGATAGAGACCTAGTTTCAGTCTTCCATATGTGGATATCCAGCTTTTTCAGCACCATTTGTTAAAAATGCTGTCTTTTCCCCCAATGTATGTTTTTGGCATGTTTGTCAATAATCAGATGGCCGTGGATACATGGGTTTATTTGTGAGCCTTCTATTCTAGCTCATTGATCTACATGCCTGTTTTGTGCCAGTATCATGCAGTTTTTGTTACTGTGGCTCTGTAGTATAATCTGAAATATGGAATTATGGTACCTCCACCTTTACTCTTTTTGCTTAGAAGTTGAATTTTATCAATGATTTTATGCATCTCTTGAGATGATTGTATAACTTCTCTCCTTTATTCTGTTAATGGGAATATTGGTTCTCTTAATGTTAAACCTATTTTGCATTTGTGAATAAACCTGTTTGGTTTATTTTAATTTGCTAATTTTAAAGAATTTTTGTGCATATGTTTATGAATGACATTTGATCTCTTCCTTTAATGTTCTTATCTGGTTTTGGCATCAAGATTATGCTAGTCTTGGTACTTTTTCTTTTTTTCAGTCCTGGGGATGGAACCTATGACCTCATACAGGCTAAGCATGTGCTGTCCCTATGTTAGCCTTCTAAAATGAATTGGAAAGTATTTCTTCCTCTATTTTCTGAAATAGTTTGGGAAGATTGCTCTTATCTACACCTTAAATGTTTCATAATTCACCAGGGAATATTTCTGGATATAGAGGTTACTTTTGGGAGAAGTATTTGACAATGGTTTATTTGGTAGATAAAAGACAATTTGGGTAAATTTTTGCAGCTCACCTTTATCATTTTTTCAAGTTGCGTTTCTCAACAAACGTTTGTTTTATTTATTATCAAATTTCTTAGAAAAATTGTTCATAATTATTTATTGCCATTATGTACCCATAAGAGCTGTAGAGATACTTCCTCTTTCATTCCTAATGTCAGTAATTTGTCTTTCTTTTTTGCTTGATAAAATTTGCTAGATTTTCTTGAAATTTTATGAATCTTTTTAAAGAACCAAATCTGGACTTTGTTAGTTTTCTCTGTTAATCTTGATATTTGCTAATTTATTTTTTCTGGTTTTTATTATTTCTTTCTATCTATTTTAAGGTTGTTTTACTCTTTTTCAAGCCTCCAAGGTCTCAAACTCAGGAATTTGATTATATTAATTTCCCACTTGGCAGTACTTATTTCATGCCATCAGTTTGATCTGCCTCATTTTCATCCTTAGTTTCTTTTGTTTTCTTTCATAACACTTCTGTAACTCATTGGCTGTTTACTAGTGGTTTTTTTAATTGCCCCATATTCAGGGTTTTTCTAGCTTACTAAATGAAATTGATATCTAACTTAACCCTGCTGTGGTCAGAGCAGATGCTACTTAAGATTTCTGTCTTTTAGAGTTCACTAAAGCCATCTCTACCACCTAGAACCAGGTCTATTATTGAATATTTCTTGGGCACTTGGAAATATTTATTCTTCTGAATGATATTCTTCTGTTGTTGGGTTTAGCTTTCTATAAATATGAGTTAGTTCAGAGCAGTTGATAGTGCTGTTAGGATCTTTTGGGTACATTCTGATCTTTTATATTTATTTATTCCATCAATTGATGAAGGCGGAGTATTAAAATCTCCACTATGGTTGTGGATCTATTTAATCATTTAGTTCTTTCACTTTTTTGATTGTGGGTACAAACATATTTGGAATCACTAAGCTTCCTGACAAGCTGACTGTGACATCATTATGAAATTCCATTTTATTTCTAATAACACTCCCTGGATTTTGAGTCTGTTTTTCTGACAGCAATATAAACCTGTCCCCTACAAGTCAACATTCCTACTTTTTGTATCGTCCATTTGTTTCTTCATATTCAAATTTTCTTCCCTTCCTAATTGGCATACAGTAAAAGTATACTTTTTTCAGTGTAATAAACTCTGTCTTTTAATGGACTATTTAGACTATTTACATTTAATATAAATATTGGTGTGGTGGAATTTAGTTCCACCATTTTGGTATTTGTTTTATATTTGCTTCATTTCTGTTTTGTTCCTCTGGTCTTCTGTGTCTATCTCCTTGTTGGTTAATTGCATATTTTTTAGTACACTATCTTAATTTCTTCTTAATTGACATTTCAGCTTCACCTTGCTGCATTACATTTCTAGGTGTTGCTCTAGGTTTCAGTTTAGAGTTTTCTCATGAAATGGAGGGACTTTGCAAGAGTATATTTCAATTTAACCCCTCAGCCCATCTTTTGTGCTATTATTGTATTAAGTGATATATTGACACATTATATATAATAATATATTAAATCCCATAATACATTGTTACAAGTTTTGGATTGATGGGGAGGCAGTACTAGGGTTTGAACTGAGAGCTTTGCACTTGCTAGACAGGCACTCTATTGCTAGTCCCTAATTTTTGCATTAAATTTTAATAACAGTATTAATAGTGCTGTGTTTACCCACATACTCACCATTTTTAGGTTTATTATTCCTTTCTGTAGCTCTGAACTGCCTTCTGGGGTCATTTCTCTCACCTTGAAGAAATTTCTTCAGTATTTCTTAAAGTTCAAGCCTGCTGATGACACATTCTCTTAGTTTTTATCTAAAATTGTCCTTATTTCACCTTTGTTTCTGAAGGATAATTTCACTGGGTATAAAATCCTGTGTATTCTTGTTTTCCTTTCACAAGTTATTTTCCCTTCTTATCCTCACAATGTCTCTGATAAGAAGCCAGCCATAATTTATATCTCTCTTCTTCTGTGTGTGATGCATTGCCTTCTCTCAGGTTACTTTTGATAGATTCTTAATCTTTTGGGTTTTCTTTTTTTCGTTTCACTTCAGCTATGATGTACCTTCTAAATGGGTTTTCTTTGTATTCATCCTGCTTGAAGTTGTAAGATTTTGGGGTCTGTTTTTCACCAAATTTGAGAATGTTTTTTGCTTGTATATTTGTTTGTTTTACAACTATGATATCCTTGTCTGCTAATTCCCAAATATATTTTCTTAGTCTCTTTGTAATGAAACAGAAGTTTGTCATCTAAGATAAGTCTGTTATTTTGTGTAGAAGCAAACAATATACACATTTTTAACACCTGCAAGCAACTATACATGATCATGGTGTTATGATTTGTATGCTGATGAGCTTTAAGTCATTAAAAAATCTTAAATCATCTTAGGAAAGAAAGGTAATACATCTTAAAATTTTTAGAACCATGTTACTTAAAAACAGGATCATCAAATTGTTTAAATCCAGGGCAATATAAAACATGGCAATGTTTCCTAAAGGGTAAGTGTAAGTCATCTAGGAGAGTTACTTCTGTGACTGGTTAATGCCTTCTTTGAAGATATGGCATCATTGGAAAGCTGCTGTCAAAGTCTCAATAATGAAAAGGATGAAAAGAAAATGGATGTCTGTACTTGGCATCACTGAGCATTGAGCTTCCTCTTCTTGAAGTCCAAACCTTGTTACCATGGTGATGTTTGTTATTCTCTGGGTCAGGGACTGTATCAGGTAAAAGAGACAGATGGGGGGCATTTTTTATATGCATGTGTTTTCTAAATAACTCACTATGATGAAGGCTTTTAGTTTATATCAAGTGCCAGCCATATAAAACACTCCAGCTCATTTCTGAGGATTACCCAGGAAATTATTTGCCTCTTTCAACATTAAATTTCTTATGAACCCTGAATAAATAGTGTCTCTACTCTTAGACTTCCTTCCTCAGCCTATCCTGCTTCAGCTCTGATGTGGTTTCCTCCACAGTAGTCAGCAACGACAAAGCACACGCATTGTACCTCCCAGCATTTCTCCTGTGAAGGTGGCCTGACCCCTCCTCCTACTTCAGGGACAGGATCAGACCCCTCTCTCCTTCATGGAAATAATTCTATGTTCCTTTCAATTGGTTGTTATACCTACTGAAAAAAACCTGATTCTAAGGATGTGCAATAATAATCTCTGCATATGCAGGCTTTTTCCTCCTTTTTTTCATTTCTGTTAATGATGATTATTCAGTTTCTTCTGAGCTATGAAACATAGTTTATTTCCTTCCCTCTTTCTTTTACAGGAAAACCTAGGTCTGCTTTCAGCAGATCCAGCCTCCAGCACCTGGAAGACTTACATCAACTATATTGATGAAATGTTGCTAGATGGATTCTTTCTTGCCATTGAGTGCTCCCTCAAATACCTGCTGGAAAACACTGGTACCTACCAGCTTATGGATATGGTTTATTATTGGGGAGATAGTACCCATAGCTCCTGTGAGGTTAAAGTGAGGTGCAGTTGAGTGTTCTGTGGTATTTCCTCAAATGCTGTGGAAATATTGTGACATTTCATAATATTTGATACACAGTAAATTGGCATAGGTATTGAGTTTCTAAATGGTTTGTAGAGAAAAGATTTCAAGTCTTTAAAAAATCGGGTGACAAACCAGGCTCTAAGAACGTGAAGTCCATAGCAAAGGCAAAAACAAAAAAATGAATTCTCCATGAGAGGAATGACTAAGTTGGAGCAGCAGGAATCAACTTGGTAAGGATGGCTTCCTCCACATTTGACTCACAGAACGATGGAAAGAAGCCTCTGTGCCTTCAAAATCCATGTGCTCTGCCTCTGTAACCTTTTGGAAACACTGAAGAGATGTGGTAGCCAGGTTAAGTAGAAGAAATAGACGTTTTACTGTGTGAAAAAAAATTCAGGCAAGAAGAAGGGGAGAAAGTAACTTTCAGAAACAAAAGGAATATTAAGAAGGTAATGAAATCTCTTTGATGCTATTAAAAATACATAATGGGTTTGCATTTATGGTGGACAAACTGGGATAAGGTGAACAGAGTTGAAGATCTAATGAGGGCCATCCTTGGTCGGTAAATGGTGAGGTTTAAAGGGGAGATGAGTGCAGGACTAAAAGTTGAATTAAACCTGAGTCAAAATGCAATGACGGATGTGAATATTTTGAAACCGGATGATGAAAATGAGGTGAGCATTTACGGTGTTTACAAGGATTGAAACCAAATGCAGAGTTAAAATAAGTAGACCAACATGGTGTCTCAGCACAGAATCCTAGGCTGAGAGTATAGACGGCATAATGCTCAGCGCTGTGCAGCCCACATGGGCAATCCTGGGGTTTTGGTAGATGAAGAGGCTGAGGTGTGAGACCTGCAGGAAAGAGGGCTGCTCCAAATCCAGAAGTCTGGAATCAGGACCCGGGGAGTCCAACATAAACTGGTGGGAGGTCACCTTCTTGGGCCTGGGAGCATGGAGCACTTACTAAGACTGAAGAGCTGGGTCCTGGAGAACAACACCAGTAGTTCTCACTATAGTGAGCTGTCCAAGCCACCTGTGATGTTGGAGGTTTGGACAACCTCGTCCAACTCAAATGCAAAATCAGTCCTCCCCTCACTGTCGGAAGATGCTCTGGCTACACGTGGGTGCAGACAATGCATAGAGATCACGTTTCAATGTTAAGACTCCATCCTTGTCAATGGCTATCTGACTCTCAGATCTGAAGTGTCTGATACCCCACTTGCCCTCTTGTGGGAAGGACAGAGTGAATAAAAGGGGATGGAGAGAAGAGCTAACAGTCTTTCTCCAAAATTGCTGAAGTTATCTTCCCTCTGTAGAGATAGGAATACAGAAGAATACCTTTCCTTTGGTACAGAAGAAGCCCTCAAAATTCTTTGAGTGGATAGAATTTGGACTTCATAGATGCCAAAACAGAGACACTATAGATAAAATTTAAGGCCAGGTATAGTGCTTCACACCTGTAATCTCAGCATTCAGGAAGCTGAAGCAAAAGGATCATGAGTTGAAGTCCAGCCTGGGCTACATAGTAAATTAAAGTTTGGTCCATATAGCAAGACATTATCTCATTTTTTTCCTGAAAGGCATTGGTTATCTAAGGGGAAGTGAAGGGGCCTAAAGAGTAGTTTTTTTCTTCCCGGATCTGCCTTACCATTTTTGCCTTCTTGAATTTGATCAAGCCCATACCATTCCAATGTCTTGGACTGATCTCTCTGTCATCTCTCAAAATCTAAATCTTGCCTAAATACATGCAAGATTGCAGGCATGGAATGGGCAGATGACATGCTACCCATTCCCCCAGGAAATGTTCTTCCTCCTCTTACTTCTCTCCTAAAATGACTTACTCGTACCCAGGACAATTTCTCTTCTGTGATACTTATCTTTGTGTTATATCCAAAGTAGTTATTTTAGGTGCTCAAGCCAGCATATGGGGCAAAAATCTCATAGACTCAAGTATTCTTTAAAAATTTCCAAATCTTATAACCCATATGAAGCCTTGTCTATTAATTTATAAATATATAACATGTAGTGATGCACAATGTACCATGAGTATATATGCAGGTTGAACATTCCTGATGGGAAAATCTGAAATCCAGAATGCTCTGAAATCCTAAATTTTTCAAGCCCCAGAAGTTTTGGCTTTCAGAGCATTTTGGATTTGGGGTTTTTGGATTAGGGATGCTTAGCCAGAAAAGTCTATGCAAATATTCCAAACTCTGAAAAAGTCCAAAATCTGGAACACTTTTAATCCCAAGCATTTCATAAAAGTGCTTCAGCCCATATAAAGCCTAATATTTAGTTTATTGTTTTGGGTTTTAGGGGTTGTTTTTCAGTGCTGGGAATGGAAACCAAGGTCTTGTGTATACTAGGCAAGCATTCTACCACTGAGCTACATCCCCACAGGGTATGTTTAAAACTATTTTATGATATTAGTATCATAAAATATGACATTTTATGATATTAACAACATCATTCCTATGCTATTAGTAAACTAGTTTTTCCTTAAGTTAAAGTTAATTCCCTTAAGTTTTTTGGTTAGAGTGGATGACTAAGCTGTGGTAACACAAACCTGTGAATAGTGTGTTTTAAAGGACAAAGAGTTCTACCTCCTGGAACTATTGCTCCAGATGAGTATTCCACTTTTGTGCCAGGTTCCTTTCTTCCTGTGGTTCTACTGTTCTCTAAGGTCTTGTCATCTCTGTAGTTTTGCTCAGCTTTGGCCATATGCAATCTCCAGTCTGGGGGAGAGGAAAAAAGAACAAATAAAGAGGGCTCACCTGCTATCTCAAAGGTCAAGCCCAGGAGTGCCACAATCACTTCATGTCATATTCCCCTGGTGAGGGATTACATTGCTACCCTTACCTGCCCTAGGGCTGGGAAATTTGGTCACATGCCCAGTAATAGGAACTAAGAAGGCAGTGGATTTCAGGGAGGAGTCTCTCCAACCACAGCATCCAACCCATAATAGACTCCTAACTATTTCTATAATCAAAAAGATACATGAAAATAAGGGTTATTGTAAAAGTTTAAGCATTTACCTTGTACTTGGTACATTGTGCTCCAAGTTGTACTTTGATTCAAATATAGAGAGGCAAGTTGGTTTAGCAAGCAATCAAAAACTTGTGAATTATTTATACTGTCTTTAAAATTTTTATCACTACAGGACTTCAGAATTAAAATCAGTTCTGTATTTTTAAGAAAAGGAGCCTCAAGAGTAGCATCCTGACTTCTCTTTGTTTTTAATGCTTATGCAAGTGTTGACAGGCGTACCCTATTCATCTAGTAGCTGCCAGCAGAATGGCGTGGCCTGTGGAGAAATCAGCTGCTTATGAGAAACTGGCTTTGAAAAATCAACCTTTTCTCATAGAGAAGGCAGTACTGCCACTGGGGGCATTTGAAATGTGGAAGGGAACTGGCTTGGGTTGGTAGGTCACTGGAATGTGGTCCATGGCATGGAGAACAGAAGTCGTGCAGTAACCAGGAGAGCCATGTGAGAGAAATGGCTTATCCAGAGTGTCAGTGATGCCCCAGTGGAGAACATTTTCACTTTCCTACACTGCAAAGAAGCACTCTAGGTATTTTAAAATGATAATCTACCTTGCCCATTTATCATTATTTTTTTGGTTTATTTCCCAGAGGATAAAGCTGGACTCACCCCAATATTTGAAGCCCAACTCAGCCTCGTCATCCCAGAATTAGTTTTTCATCCGTCTCTGGAGTCTGGAGTGAAGGGGGGCTTCTATGACATTGTTGAGGGTCTTGTCACAAGCATCTTTGGGATGTCGTCTTTAATACCACGGCTGTCCCCACACAATGGCTCTCCTCTCTATCAGGTACTGGATCTCCCACCAGCTGTCCTCCAAACACATCTGGATCACCCTCCAAGTGCTGGTGTAACCTGCATGCTGCTGTCTCCCTTCCCCAGGTAGACCTGGAGGGCATGGCCGATTTAGCAAGCATGAGGAACACGCTCATGGAGAGGGTCCAGAATATGATGGCCCTCTGCTGCAGCTACCGAAACACTTTTGGCCAGTATTCCTACCTGTACGTGGAGGACCGGAGGGAGATTCTGGGCCAGTTTCTGCTCTATGGCCATGTCCTCACACCCGAGGAGATGGAATCCCATGCAGACAATGGCATCCCAGAGAATCCACCCCTCCTCCATCAGTTTAAAGTGCAGATAGACTCCTATGAAAAGCTCTGTGAAGAGGTGTGCAGCCTGGAGCCCATCAAGCTGTTTGACGGTTGGATGAAAATTGACGTTCGCCCCTTTAAGGCATCTCTACTGAGCGTAATTAAGAGGTGGAGCCTCATGTTCAAACAGCATCTCGTTGACTATGTCACTAACAGGTAACACAGTTGTCCTAGCTTCCTTGTAGCCTTCCAAGCTGCCAGTACACCATGCCTGTAATCTTCATCTTTTCCCCCATGGGATCATTGGTTAAATTAAAAATTACAACAATTAATTGGAGATTCCAGTCTTTTGGACACCATAGTAACTTCAATTCTGTCCTTTCCCTTCTTCACCAGTTAATGGCCTCTGTTTTATTTTCCACTTGGTGCCCAGTGGATGAAAGGCACCAAGTAAGTGGTAAATAATGCTAGAAACAATAATCACAGATCCAACCTCCCTTCACAATTCTAACTGTGAAATCTATTTAAGCCTGGGAAGCAGAGGGGGTCTAATGGACTCTTAATTTTATTTCTTACCACTTACTCCTTGACTCAGATGTCCAGCTGCGCAATGTGGAAGTCACTAGCATCCCAGGCTCCTGTATGCCTGTCTGTGCCATTCTAGCCATGCTGCAGTCTGGATCTGAAATTCTGTCTGTCCCACTAGGAGCCAAGCCACCCAGCCCAGCACCTTGCTCTCAAATTCAAATCATTGCCCTCTGATGAATAATCTAGTTGTCAGCTGTCCCCTTGTCACTCCACCTTAGCCTTATCCCCAAGAGATTTGCCACAGTCAGACTCTCACCCTCTATCTGCACCATGAATCCTGGAGGGGCAGGGGGTGGGGTGTGGCCCTTGGCTCAGTGATTGCCTTTGGTGTGTTAAATGACACTGCAGAAGGCCAACCTGACCCCTTCTCCTTGATTTGGCGCTGGTCTTGCTCAAGGCTGCAGCTGCCTTGCTCCATGGTTTAGAGCCCTGAACAGAAAGGAAATGGCAAAACTGAGGGTCTCTCTACTTAAAAAGAGATTCCAGGAGATGTTGCAAGAGTGGTGCTCCACCACTGTAGAAAACCCCAGGAGAGTATTGTGGAGATAATTCAAAGAGGTTCCCAGGGGTTATTTGAGAAGAAGCAGTGCCTTTTCATTCAGGAAAGTTTTTGCTCACTGCAGAATCCAAAGGCAAGATGAAGAAGTGCCAGCAGGTGGTAGGGTAGTGAGAGATGCCCTCAAGTAAAGCACTTTTGGGGGAACAGCTGCTCTGTGGTCCTCTGTGTGGTAATCCAAGAACATAGGGCTTGTTGTAAAACATTGGTTTTGTTATTATTTAGGCAGGTGAGGCCAACACATCTGAAAATAGCTGCTATCAGAAGGACTCACAGTTCCCAAGGGTACGGCAGACCATACAGAGTCACATGGGGGGACATTCCATGTTCTCAGGCAGGGAGAGGAGAAAGAATATGGACAAGAGCCTTTAGAGAGGTTTCTGTAGGGAGAAATGGGTAAGGTGGTATAAGCTGGCTTAAGGATTGGTGACATTGATAATTTCAGTGGGCTCTGGAACACAGGGCTGTCTAGTATCTGTCCCTGGGATGATGGGACAGAGAACTATTGGCCCAGAGTGTGTGAGCCAGATACAGGAAGTGCCTGGGCTCTGAATTAGTTGGTTTGCATATGAAAAGTGTGCTGGCAGGTCAGGCATGACTTTCCAAAGTGTGGCTAACCCTGCTGGGGACAGTCCCTCCAGTGACTGTAAGGCCCAGATGTGAAAGGACCAAAAACACAAGGCATAGTGACAGCAGCTGCTAGCTAAAACTTCAGAGGGTGTGACAGTTGGAGGCCTGAGTCCTTGCCTTTGAGCCTCAATTTCTGTACCTCTGAAAAAAGACAATACAATTGGATTGTAAGGAGCCTTCCAGCTTGACCATTAAGTCACTGATTCCATTAACTGGCTGCTTTACTGTACTTTAAGAGAATGTTTTATTGTGTTCTTAAGGCTTAGATAAAAATAGAAATAGTAAGAAAAAGAAAAACCATTTATTACTGAATATCTACTCTGTGCTATGCAATTATGTGATTTCTACCTTACCTTAGCACTCAGGATTGGTCCTACCTTGCCTTACATCTTATCTACTTTATTCACTATCAGAGTCCAACCCTCTTTATCACCTTCACTCTCATCCCCATTCAGCACTTAATGCCCCAATCTGACTCAGCCCCCACTCCCAAACTCACAGGCCCTCACTGCCCTCCTAATGCCTTTCCCTAGACCAAGGGTCTTTCATCAGCCAATGCCCAGTTCCCTTCTCTTCTCTCAACACATTTTTTGCTCCAATTGGACCCTGGTTCTCCTCTGAGGACACTGCTCTTCACCTCCATCCCCCAGCCCTCCTTTTAGAGGTAGACTCTTCTCCTGTATCCCTCTTTCCAGTGAGCTTACAATAGGGAAGGCATCCTTGCTCTGCCATGCTGCTTCCAGACCAATTCACCACATTCTCCCTGAAAATCACCAGCTCCCCTGAAGTGACTTCTATCAGGCAGTACCAACTGCCATACATCCTTACTACAGTTACTACCAGACTCTTAGATACCTTTCCTTGTCATCGCAGAGCTACTCATCTGGCTCTCCTTCTTCCTTTTCCACCCTCTGGCCACTATCACCCTCAGTGCCCTAACTTGACCCAAAGTCTTCACTACACCTGCTGCTCGTCTGGCTGACCTCTTCCCTCTGCCATATGAGTTATCTCTCCTTGTGTGTTGTGCTCTCTGCAGGAGGGAAAGGTGGGGAAATAATGTCTCTGCCTCTAGAAGCTCAGGTGTAACATTTCATTCTCTGACCACACCTGGTCAGCCCTGCCATACAGAATTCTTCAGATCCTTCAGGATTTCCAGTCCATTGACTCCACACCTTCTCAGTGTCTCTCCCCCACTTTCTGGAAACCCTGACTTTGTCTAAACTCAGTGCTCCCCCTCTGCCACTGAGCAATTCATCTCTGCTGAAGTAAAAACGAACCATCCTTCTGACCAATCTCACATTACATTTCTGAACAAACATTGCAAGTAGGCGATCCACATTTCCCTAGATGCCTCCAAGCTCTCCTTGATGCCCAGTTCCTCATTCTGCTCAAATCCCAAACAACCCCTCTGCCCTTGTGTCCACACAAGGGATAATCACAAGAGAACTAATTCACCTTTTCACCAACAAGTCTACCTCCCAACCTACCTGCATTTGAAATCATGCATCCAAATACCTCACCTATGAGGACTCACCTATGAGGAGAGTCCCTGCTCTTTAAGCCAACTCTCTAATCTTCTCAGGGGTTTACTGCTCCTTGCTATGGTTTAGACTTTGTTTGAGTGTGTCTCCAAAGGTTCATGTGCTACAAGTCTGGTCCCCAGGGTGGTTGTGTTGAGATGAAAGAATATTTCAAACTTGGGACATTGTGCTCAGAAGGAGTTAATGTTTTTCTCATGAAGTGAGTTAGTTCTCATGAGGACAGGTTGTTATAAAGCATACCACACCGTATGCTTGGCCCCTCCTGGAGGCTGTTGGTTCCTTTTCCCCTTCTTTGCCATGTTGCGATGTAGCCAGGGTACCTGTCCAGGATGCCAGCATTGTACTCTTAGAAGCCTTTATTTTTTAAAAACTCTTCTTGGTTTTTGTTTTACTCCCAGGGTGTGCTTGCTGTGCAAGCATTCTACCAGCTGAGCCATGCCCTCAGTCCCCTTTGGATCCTTTAGCAAAATCTTTGGATCTTACCAAAATCATGAACCAAATATCACTGCACTTTATAAAGCTCTCAGCCTCAAGTTATTTTGTTATAGCAGCAGACTAAGATGTGCCTTAAATATTCCCTGTCTCCAACATTATCAATTTTTTCTTTGTTCATTCTTGGTAGCATGTGAATTGATTGTTATATCTTCCATATTTAAAAAGAAAATGGACAATGTTCTCACAAGTCATTCCTAGTCCAGCTATACTATTTCCTATACACCCCTGATAGCAAAATTCCTCAAAACTTGTCTCTGTAATTAATTTACTTGTTTTACTCCTTTACTTTTGCCTTTCTTTCTACAAAAAAAAAGTTTTACTATGCAGTATACCATACATAAAGCATAGAGTAAAACATTAAAACAAATACTTACATTTGCACTTTCAAGCTAAGAAATAGAATATTACCTATATTTTCAAATTCCTTTCATCAGTTCTTCCTCATCAAATCCCTCTACGTCTCTGCAAGATGTTACCTCTACCATTGGTGTGACACAATCTTTCTCAAGCTCTTCTGCATGGCGTGTGTGTGTGTGTGTGTGTGTGTGTGTGTGTGTGTATACACATGTATACATACACATATGCATGTAGAGAGAGATTTGCAATGAAATTTTATATAAATGAAATGAGATTGTATACTATGTATCTTTGTGTCCCATCCTTTCACTCAGCAGAAATTTGAGATTCATCCATGTTGAGAGTATGTGAGTAGCTTTCGTTTTTCACTGATGAAGAAAATTGCATTAGATGACTATGCCACAACTTCCCTGCCCTTTTTATGGTTGATGAGAGTTTGGAATGTTAAGATGGCCTTGTTAAGACCAACAATGTTGCTCTCAGTACTCCTATCCTTGTATCATGACCTAAGAGCAGAATTGAGAGGTCAAAGAGCATGCATGTAGTGGCAAACCCTCTCCAAGGCAGAGACGGCCACAGGTGAAAGTCCCAACACTTCTTGGTGTTGACAAACTATTTCATCCTGGCCAATCCAGTGAGGGTCTTGTGTCAACTCATTGAGGCAAATATTTTGCATTACTTGGATTATGAATAAGGTAGCTTACCTTGTTTTTTACTATTTGGGAATTACTTACATTTTCTATATCTAATCCTTTGCTAGTTGCATGAGTTACAAATATACAACCACCCAGCATAGTTTCTCATTTTGTAGCCTGTTTTCTCACTCCTTCTGAGGTGTGCAGATGGGAGTCTGCATTCCTCTGACTCCATGGGGTCTGCATCTGCAGATTCTACCCACCACAGATCAAAATTATGTGCAGACATTTTTCCTTCTCATTATTTCCAAAACAGTACAGTCTAACAACTATGTACATAGCATTTATATTACATTAGGCAATAATTAATAATCTAGAAAGATAAATTAGTAGGAGGATGTATGGAGAATATAT